TTTTAGACAAAATCTACCTATTTTTAGTCGAATTATCCGAATCTGCAATAAAAAATAGGGTGATCCATTAGAAATTTTAAAGTTACCCCCTGTTCCCCCTATAAGGAGGAGAATATGAGCACCAATTTTAGTACTAATTGATTTCCCCCCTCGAATCATTTAATTTTTATTTTAAACATTATTTCGTAAAAACTGTAAAAACTGCTTCTATATCGTATTTAAACGGTTGTTAGTCCATTTTCAAAGGATAAATTTCGATTTACACCGAAAATTTTGACATTTGCTGCCGGTAATACAGACTCCCATTCTCTTACTCTATTTTTATAGATGTCGCTCAATACAAATATTTAATTTAAATCATTTTTAGATAAGTATTTATCAAAATAAAACTTATAACATTAGATTTTTTACTTTAATAGCGGTTGTTAAGGTGAATTTAACAACATTTGTACTAATAAATGCGCAAAACTAGACCTTTTACTTGAAATGCATAATTTTTTGAATAATTTTTAATATTTTAAACATTATTCTTGTTGATGGATTTATTAATATTTTTATTTCTCTCAGGACATTTACGGACAAATTTTATAATGTCAATAATTTTCCTCTAAATTACGGAGCACAGTTCACCTGCTCAAAACATTTGTAGGGGCAAGAAAACTGATATTTAATACGCCAGTAGTCACTGATGATGATCATCAATGATTTAAAAGATAATTTCGTTGTAGGTAATAAGTGTATAATTTGACCACATTTTATAAGTAACCTATAATCAAAAGTGAAAGGGGGGTATTTATGAGAAAAAATTGTTTGGGGAGGTATTTGATGTTATTTTGCAAAAAATAAAATATTTGAGTGATTTTTTTTATTTTACCAAGAACTATCAATGTACTTAGTAGGTTATTACCACAGTCCATAACCATTTCACAAAAACCAATTAATTAAAAACCGAGCTAATAAACCAAACCCCTTTTCAATATACCTAATAATCATTTCATACACATGGTAGATGGTTAGTTAAACTAATTACATACCTATTTGACTTAAGGACATGTGCATGAAGCAATTTATAACTTTATAAAGAAGACCCCACCAATAAAATTCAAATTAGAATTTTCTAATTGATTTCGGCCGCGGTTAATAACCGTTCCCATGGCAATTAGAATGGTGGTAATTGAGCTATTATGTAGTTTTTTTAATACTAAGATAGCCCGGGCTATAGCCCCTACAAAATATCGAAGTTGACTATCTAGATTTAACAAAATATGGTAAAAAATGTTTTATTTCACAAATAATGAGCCATGAAATGAAAAAAACCTTTTTTTTGTTTTTTTTCTCGGAACCACGCTCAAAAGTTTCGTAAAGATATAAAAATGAGCCTGTGAAAAAATGAGCCCTTAATTTCAAAATTAAGATGCTCCGCATCGCACTTTTCGATTTTCCATAAGAATAACATAGGAAAAATTATTTTTGTTTCTTTTTATTTTTGTAACTAACGAACAATAGGTCGTACTTTAAAGATCTTGACATATTATTGTAGAAAATTAAACGCTCTACAAGAAAGGTTTCTTATGATTTTTTGATAAATTTGATCCTTCTAAAGAAATTTAAGGTCAAAGTTCAAATTATACAAAATTTTTGGGTTTTTTTAACTTATTTCGCGAGTCTGCCCGACTCATTTAAAAAATTTTGAAATATTTTTGTAGAGAATTGAACGCTGTTTTTCCGAATTTCCAGAGCTCAAAAACAATATTTCGATTCGTTTTTAGCCCTTTGAACTAAAAAATCCAGAAAAAATTCGAGAAAACGACTAAATTGACGGTTAATTTCACTTTAACCTTTAATAACTTTTAACCAAGTTTACTTACTGAAAAATGACCTTTTTTGTAGAGCGTTCAATTCTCTACAAAAATATTTCAATTTTTTTTAAATGAGTCGGGTAGTTAAAAAACACAAAAATTTCGTATAATTTGAACTTTGACCTTAAATTTGTTTAGAAGGCTCAAATTTATCAAAAAATCATAAGAAACCTTTCTTGTAGAGCGTTTAATTTTCTACAATAATATGTCAAGATCTTTAAAGTACGACCTATTGTTCGTTAGTTACAAAAATAAAAAGAAACAAAAATAATTTTTCCTGTTTTCTTATGGAAAATCAAAAAGTGCTCATTTTTATATCTATACGAAACTTTTGAGCGTGGTTCCGAGAAAAAAAATAAAACAAAAAGGTTTTTTGAATCACCCTATTATATATACATATATTATATATGTATATATGATATATACTACCTATATATGAAATACATACTATATATAGTAATTTTTTAGAGCGACTTAGACTTATTCCAATTTCTATAAATAAAATCATAATACTAAAATTTAATTTTTGATTACGATATTAAAAATATTTACAATTAGTGAATGGGACACATGGAAATCAGGTCGCACAATGGGTCCCAATTATATACGAATAATAATCGGATTAACGATGCTATCACAATAATAATATGCGACTTCCTAATACTATATCACATAGTAAATTTTCGGCATCAAAAAACGCGCAATCTAACAGAAAATTACTTTGGCAATTAGCCGGCCTGGTTTTAAACTTTACAGGATATCAAAACAGACAATTTGCCTTATCAGTTTTGTATCTAAATTCGAGGCGAGCTTTCATTACAAAAGTCACCGTAATACCCGGTAATTATATAATGTCACCGTTTTTTTTTTCGAATTGCCCGATGCATATCGCTCTTTTGCTCTTGCTCGCTGTAATTGCCTCGAACGTCGAACTAAATAAAAATGACAAGCTCGAAAATGAGGTTTTAATTATGTGCATTTCCATTTTAGCGGTACACCTTTATTACACGAAAATTTCATGATTTTTAATAAGCTTAATAGTTTAATTTCTTGATATATAGGTACATATTATGTATCTCATCAATTTATTATGTATTATGTTTACACACTGCAGGAAAGTGTTTTTATAGTATACTAAAACCTATCAATAAGTAGGTCGAAAATTCTATTTTTTTTATTAATTTTCAAAAATCGAAGAAGACATACATTTTTAAAAACACGATTTAAACTTTAAAACTCAAAAATCTTGACTTAAAACGCTTCAAATATTTTCAAAAAATAAATTTAAAAACGAAAATTTTATATTGAATAAACATTTTGATTTGGACCATTTTTTAAGAAGTTATGAGCGAAAAACAAACAAAAAAGCAGTTTTTTGAAAATTTGAACCCGTGATCAAAAAAATCTCAAAATTTACTGAGAAAGCACTTTCAAGGAGTACTAAAAAATATAAAAAAATTGGAGAAATCAAAAAATTTTTTTTTAAACCATCCGATTTGGCGTGGAATGCCCCATATAGAAAGAGTATATTTAATTTTTGGTAAAATACCATAAAAATAAATTGAAAAAAATGCGGATACCAAAATATTTAAACAAAAATTATGTCAAATTCCAATATGACGGCCATAGAAACAACAAATGATGGTGGTGCACCATATACCATGGTATCTCAAAATCCAGTAGGCGAAAAAAATTACAAGTTGTATGAAAATGTAGATACACATTTATAATATAAACATAAACTTTATATATAAAACTTACTTTTTTCAGAGTTCCCATGAATAACGAAGTTATTATAACGATTTTTGGTTTTGACAGGTTGTCAGTTTTTTTATTATTTGAGAAGCGCTGACTTTTTATCCTAATTTAACCGCCCTTGTAGCTCTTTAATTAAAAAAGGATACTTGGTTGCACATCAAATTTCCCTAAAAAGCGTAAATATTTTACATCTGGCAACATTGCTCTAAATCAAAAAGTTTTTATCAAAAAGTGATCAAAATCGCATTTTGTAACTTAATTTTCACAAAAACTACTGAAAAACACACATTTTTTATTTACTTTTTAAAACGTCTATTTTTGATTGGTGAATTTCTTGATGTGCTAAAACGTTTTCAAATTTAAATGAATTTGTAATAAGTAAACTTCCTATTTTAGGTAAAATGCAATATTTTTCCTTATGCAAATGCCTTGCATCCTGTAGTTATATGCATAGAGGTCTTCCCACGGGACACTTTTTAATTTAACGGTTTATAACTTGGAATTAAATTGAAGCGAACGGGGGCCGATTTGATGTCTCTCTGGCCCCCCCGACGGCGTCAAGGGGGTGGCAAACAGGCCCCCCTTTTTGTTTTGTCACGCGAGGGCCGTATGTATGCTAAGCGACCACACTAACGCGCTTTAAAAATTAAATCCTGCAGGGAAAATACCGAGAAACACGAATAAAATTAAAATGTTACTTCTTTTATTTGGTTTCGAGGCAAAGAAGCAATATGAGAATGCTAATCACTTGTTTATTTTATTTCAAACATAGTTCATTTGTTTGTAAAACGCAAATCTTACAAAATAATGATAACAAAACATTACACTCACCCCCTTTCAATTAATTTGTGATCTCTGGGTTGACAAAGTTTTAAGATAACCATTTAAAACTTTTTAAAGCATTTAAATTTTCATCTCCAAGTGACCATTGCAATACTGATATTCTATTGTTTGTTTATGAAAATTGATGATCAAAGGTGGCCTTGGGAATTTGACAGGTTTAAATTCAAATACCTATAGGTATACAGTATACTGTAAGTATACTGTAAGTATACTGTAAGTACATTTCTGTACGCTCACAAATAATTTGTTAATTAATAATAAACTAGTTAACTATTAAAGAAATTTGCAATATCCAGTGCTTTTTATTATTATTAATAAACGCAGGATAACAATTTGTTTTTAACATATACGTAAGTATATGGTTTTTAATATAACTAGTGACATCTACAAAAAACAGTGTAAACTAACCTAAAGCCAACTTGTGCGCATTACTAAATCAAACCTGAAAAATAGGAAACTGTAATTTTAATTTTTTAAACTTCTTATAGGATTATTTCTTAAATAAAACATGGAAATTCAAACAAAATAATAATATATTTAAGGACATCGACTTTGTTACAACAATTAGGCTTAGGAATAAATAATAAAAAGTAGAAAAATAAAACTCTGCAAGTAAACTTAATAAATATGATCCTTGATGTGTTCGTAGGCTGTATTCATGACGCCCCAGCTGAGCATGGCCCTGAAGCAATTTGTGCCGACGCCGTAATACATTTTGGATATTCTACAGCCCCGTTCCCTGTAAATATTTCCTAAAACTTGCAGAGGATTTTCATAGGGCCCCCCAATTTTGCTCTGCATTTGTACTTTTAGAACGTTTAGAGGATAAAATAAACTAGATAGGAAAACACCAATTAACGCCCCGCACAAGAATTCCGTGGTAGTTCTTAGCAACTCTGTTTCGTATTTTGGTAACTTTTCCTGCATTTCTTCTCGTATTATAAAAAACCCGACATTTGAAGGCCCGTTTCTGAACAATATAGGCACTAACCCCCGATAGTATTCACCAACTCCATACCCTTTAACAAATCTAAATGCGTGAAACGTGTTCCTAAATTTTTTATGATAGGTAGAATCGGCCATTAAAGTTTGTATTCTCTCAAATGGCATTAAAATGGCTTCGGTTGTGCCTGAGAGAAGTGCCCCCAAAGCTTTAGCTATGTAAGGATTCACACCATTTTCACACAAAGGCTTTCGAACCTCCTCGTACACACCAAACATCAATGACAATGACAAGGTTTTTTGGCATAAGGGGGGCAGCATACCCCTGTATAAATAACTGATGCCCTCATTTTTGAGCTGAAAAAATGCGTCCGTTGTTCTGACACCATGTAACATCTGAAATAATGTCATAAAATTTAATATTAATCTGATAAAATCCATGTCAAAAAGTTCTAGCTTCAGTTAAAATATTTTGTTCATAGATTTGGTTTATGATTTTGTTTTTTATCTTATATTATTTTAAAATGTATTTATTTTGATACTCAATACTGTTAAATTTAGCTTGTGACAGCTACCTATATCTAGCCTAAAGAATTTAATAATATTAATTGGATGTTACCTGACGAAATATGATTTTATTTACAGGGTATGTAATTGTGACGTTTATAAATGCGGCCCCCCAACCACAGGCGAATTCGCGCCAATTTAAATAATCACCACATGTAGATTTCCTAGTGTCAATTTTTTTTTCATTCATCTGTAAAATAAGGTTATATAATAGAAAAATTAAAACATATTTTTACTTTTCAAACTCACCTCTGCGGGTTTAAACATGTAGAACAATTATTTGACTAGAAAATAAATCACAGACATCGTTTTTTACGTATGTTAAGAATTTTTGGGCACGTAAACCAAAAACATTCAAAACATTTCAGAAGAACTTATAAAAGTTGAATTATTGATGATTACAGTATAAAATTAATTGAGTTTTAAAAATTGGGTAGTTTTAAGTAACAACTATATAAATTAAACAATTTTTCCATAATTAAAATCGCGAAAACTTTAACCTAACTTTATAAATTTGTCATCAGCTCACGGCTGATACTGACTTTTTCTATGCTGAAAACCTGACAGTTGTCTACAAGTTGTCAAGTCAAATCTTTTATTATTATTAATCGGGCCATAAAATTAATACAACACTCGTTTACCATAAATTTGAAGTACTTTAAGAAAAATAAATATATAAATTGCGTTTTATGCATTTTTGCTCAATAAAATTTGCTAAATAATCGTCCGGAAAACACATCTGGCAACATTCTTTTTGCACAAATTGACATTTCAAACGTCATCTGACGACATTTGACGTTTCTAGTAAATATTTTGATTTTGATATGCTGGTATGGCTGTCTTATGTTCTTTTCAATGGGAAGGTAGAATGTTTTGGAAAATTAATTGTAATAAATAAGTATAAAATTAATTTGCAGAATACCCTGTATATGGCCTTCGTTTACAAATAATGCAGGCTCAAACTTCAGGCAATCAGGACGAAAAAAAACACGTAATTTACAAAATAATTGCAAGAATTATATCATCTAAAGATGACTTAAAGCCTGTAATTTTTGACAGGCGTTACACGCAATTCTCAGACCTGTACTATACTCTCAAAAAGGAACACCCTCATTTAATGACCTTTAAATATGATTTCCCAAGTAAAAAATTATTTGGCAACTTTTCTTACGACTTGGTGTGTGAAAGAGGAGTTGCATTTGAAGAAATGATGAATCATATTATTATGGAGACTAATTTGAGGAATTCAAAGGCTATGCTGGAATTTTTACAAGATACCGAACTCAAAAAAGCCAAAGATTGTTTAAGTACAGCAAATTATTCTGCAGCTATGCCTCTTTTGGAACAAAATTTTTTGCTACTGAACAAAATTTTTACCAACCGACACCCACCTGTTATTTTAGCTTTATCCAGGCTTTTTGCTTGTTGTATGGAAATCCCTGATATGCCAAATGCTTTTAAATATGGAAGCTTGGCTGTAAATCGATTTGAATGGGTTTGCGATACATATTTGCTTGAACTTTACATTCCTCTAATACATGCTTGCATTAAGGTTTGGAATCAATTTGACAAAGATGATACATATTTAAAGGACCAATTATTAAGTTTAAAACGGCAGGGGATTAATGTCAACCAGAATTTGGATTTAGTTGCTGCTATTGATGTTGTTGAAAAAAAGTTGTAAAGATTTGTATGGTAAATGTTCCATATATTGGCTTTTTCTAAAAAAATCATACATTTTTGCTGGAAATTTATTTGATTGATTTGATTTAATTACATTTATTTCTGATAAAAATGTACAATAAAAGTTGAATTTAAGTTTACAGACGCGCGGCAAAAATTAACAGTTTTTTGGAAAAAGCCGCGATACGGAACATTTACCGTAAAAAAATATTTTTTAAGAATCTCTCTACTTTTGGTATTTTCGGTTTTTCTAGTCATTGAGATTTTTTAAAATTTTTATTTTATTTTTTGTTAAAATTATATTTTTATTACAATTAAATATCCATTTTTACTGGTTTTTCTTTTTTATTAAAACCTTGACGTTTAAAATGTTGATTTTAGAGTTGTATTTAGTAATTTTAATTACAAAAAAAAATTCTTTTCCAAGTAGGTAGGTAGTAAGTTTTCAAGTTATTAAGCATTTAAGTTAATAATTTAACCTTTTGATGTGGAGCTTAGTACCTATAATAAAAGAAAGTTTACATTTTTAAAGATCAGTATGGAAAACATTTTGGTCCTTTGAGCCGGATTTTATTATTTATGATATTTAAGAAAAATTGTGAAGTAAATAAAAGTCTGTTTTTGTTTAGATTTAATTTATTATCATTACGATACTGTACCATCAACAGTCCATAAATCAATAAATACAAAACATGATTTCTTTTTAGTTAACAACTAAAATTTACCATTTTCTCCAATTCTAATGATCATACAACCGGTATTTCGTGTAATAAGATAATCGAATAGTTTTTCAACTTGCATACAAAAACAATGGAATTTTGGGTAGAATCGTCCGAATGAGCGGATAATAGTGTTAGATGTGAATATAATTTGCACTAGACGCTAATTACAATTGTGACTGCTTAGTCAAGTATTTAAATAAATTACAAAACATTGGTATTGTATTATTTAGGTAGAAATATGAGTTTAAAAAAATAAAATAAAATTGTATGTAAATAAAAAATAATGCTTGGGGGTCATCCAGGGGAATTAATATAATAAATAAATATTTATAGTTTGGTAAAATGACCCTTTTACAGTGTTATACCAGGTGTCCCAAGCAAATGATGTGAATTGTTATCAGGGATATTTTGATGTAAATAGTTTTAACAACTGAATGGGTGTCAAAAGCAACACAGTATCAAGTTGTCTAATAAGTAATTGTGGATGAAAATAAAAGAAAAAACCCTTAGAAAAATTTCTTTTTTTAACTTGAGACATCCGGTATATAAACTAAAAATTTGTTAACTCATGTTTCTACATATTGTTCATAATATGTATCCTTATTTAGAAAGAAGCACAGAACAACAGTCTGTATTTGCAGTAGAGTAAGAATTTCTCAAACGGACCACCATAAAAGTGTTGCAACCCATTTATTGTTAAAGTTATTATATTATTTCAAGTTTTGTCATAAAACTTGTCTACTGTACTTGTTCCTTACCATTAAACTCCAAATCTTTCAGCAGTTTCGTTTTGTGAGAGTTTTTGGTGAAGTAATTTAAATATCTACACGTGACGAAGCGTTATTGTTAACACAGCAGTACATTTTAACAATCCTTTTGTAAATCGATTTCAAAATAATACGGGATCAACAATAAATGTGTCGCAATGGTTTTGGGGTGATCCGTTCGAGAAATTGTAACTCAATAATAACCCAAGCAGCATTTTTGGTTCCAAAAACCATTGCCAAAGTGGTGATAACTTTAAATTAGTTAAGTATACTAAACAGCTACTTTAATTTTTACTTAAAAGTAATTCTAACTTTTAAATAGCAATATTTTGTAACAGAAACTTAAATTTTCCTTAAATTGTTACTATAAAGTAATAAACATTTAAGTAAAACTTGGTTGCCCCCAAGAAGACTTTGCAACTTTTAAAAAAGATGTTATAAGTAAAAAAAACTTTCAAGTAAATTTAATTTGTAGCAGTTACTTTCGGTTGCTACCTAAAGATTACATTATAATTATTTTTACTTTGTAGTCCCTTTGCAAGTTGAAATCTCAAAACTGGAACATGAGTTAAAAACTACAAAGTTAATAACTTAAAAGTTATTATTTTAGTATTTGGAACGTTTATGGTACTAACCAAAACAACCGTAAAGTGGAAAAAAACTTTAAAGTAGCGAACACTACTTCAAAGGAAAATGCTTCTTATCGGCCATTTTTTACTGTACAGTACCACGTGGTAATGTAAATAATAAATTATTTTAATTGTTTGTAAATGGTTGTTTACTTTTTAATAAATAGAAATATTGTTGGTAATAGACGGTATTAATAATTAAATAAAAAAAATAATAATAAATATTAAGATTTTTTAATTTATAAACATTACTAAATAAATAATTTGTTTATACTTAAATATTGATGAAGCGCATTTATTTTACAAAAACTAAATTCATAAGTTCAACAGTAAAATTTAAAGGGTTTATAAATCTACCTGTCTAATTATATATTATATTGTTATTCTGGAAGTTATAAACTACCAGTACATATTTAATAAACGACGACATTGAAAAGCCAAGTCCGTAGTGGTTCCATTTAAAAAAGGAGGGATAGTATAATCTAATATAAGTTTGACAAAGACAGTTAATATAGAAGTAAAAACAAATAATAAAAGTAATTATAACGCTCTAGCAACGATATTGGAACGTTCTAGTAACGTAGCAGCTACGTCCCAAATAGTAGCAGGGTTGGTAGCTAGTGACATATTTGCTACCTTTTTGGAACTCAATAATTGTTCCCCACTTTAGTCGTAACGTAGTAATGAAAGAGTAATATAAAGAGACCGGCGACTGTCGCAAAACACTTTGAAGTTTCTTCAATAGTCCCATATACGTAACAAATACTTAAATTGTTGCTTGGGAAACTAATAAATTATTGTTATTCTATTGGTGCGCACACTGTATACCGGGTCCGGGGTTCATATGTTCCTCGTCGTCGCTGTCGCAGGCTTCGCCCCTGCCGCTGCGCGTCCTCTCGTTGGGATCGTAGTCGCACAAGTCAACCTCTTTCCACTAAATCCTTTTTTTATTTTATTATTTGTGATATTTAAGAAAAATTGTAAAGTAAATAAAAGTCTGTTTTTGTTTAGATTTAATTTATTATCATTACGATACTGTACCATCAACAGTCCATAAATCAATAAATACAAAACATGATTTCTTTTTAGTTAACAACTAAAATTTACCATTTTCTCCAATTCTAATGATCATACAACCGGTATTTCGTGTAATAAGATAATCGAATAGTTTTTCAACTTGCATACAAAACAATGGAATTTTGGGTAGAATCGTCCGAATGAGCGGATAATAGTGTTAGATGTGAATATAATTTGCACTAGACGCTAATTACAATTGTGACTGCTTAGTCAAGTATTTAAATAAATTACAAAACATTGGTATTGTATTATTTAGGTAGAAATATGAGTTTAAAAAAATAAAATAAAATTGTATGTAAATAAAAAATAATGCTTGGGGGTCATCCAGGGGAATTAATATAATAAATAAATATTTATAGTTTAATAAAATGACCCTTTTACAGTGTTATACCAGGTGTCCCAAGCAAATGATGTGAATTGTTATCAGGGATATTTTGATGTAAATAGTTTTAACAACTGAATGGGTGTCAAAAGCAACACAGTATCAAGTAGTCTAATAAGTAATTGTGGATGAAAATAAAAGAAAAAACCCTTAGAAAAATTTCTTTTTTTAACTTGAGACATCCGGTATATAAACTAAAAATTTGTTAACTCATGTTTCTACATATTGTTCATAATATGTATCCTTATTTAGAAAGAAGCACAGAACAACAGTCTGTATTTGCAGTAGAGTAAGAATTTCTCAAACGGACCACCATAAAAGCTTTGCAACCCATTTATTGTTAAAGTTATATTATTTCAAGTTTTGTCCTGAAAATCGATTGGATCCATAACTCCTCTACTGTACTTGTTCCTTACCATTAAACTCCAAATCTCTCAGCAGTTTCGTTTTGTGAGAGTTTTTGGTGAAGTAATTTAAATATCTACACGTGACGAAGCGTTATTGTTAACACAGCAGTACATTTTAACAATCCTTTTGTAAATCGATTTCAAAATAATACGGGATCAACAATAAATGTGTCGCAATGGTTTTGGGGTGATCCGTTCGAGAAATTGTAACTCAATAATAAACTAATAAATTATTGTTATTCTATTGGTGCGCACACTGTATACCGGGTCCGGGGTTCATATGTTCCTCGTCGTCGCTGTCGTAGGCTTCGCCCCTGCCGCTGCGCGTCCTCTCGTTGGGATCGTAGTCGCACAAGTCGACCTCTTCCACTAGATCCTTGTCGGGGATGTCGAGTGCGGGTCTGGGGGGCAGCAGGTCCTCGAGAGCCTTGAGGTTCACTTCGGAGGTGAAGTGGTTCTCGGGGAATTTCACCTCGAAGGTGACGAAGAGGTTTCCCTTTTCGAAGGGGTTCTTGTAGTGGGGCATGCCTTCGCCCGCTACGGCTTTCACGTCGCCGGGTTTGATTACGTCGCCGGCGGGTTGCTTTATCAGCAGATCGCGGCCGTCCAGTTGCCGCAGCACGAAGGAGAACCCGCAGAGGGCCTCGGTGAGGGTTATGGAGTGGCGCACGTGGAGATCGTCGCCGTTTCTTTGGAAGGTTTCGTGGATTTTTTGCTGCAACACGATGACGACGTCGCCGGGCTCCACGTCCGGTTGCTGATCCCCCTCGCCTCTGAAGAAGATCTTCTGGCTCTCCTTCATGCCTTTATCGACGTGCACTTCGAGAATCTTGGTCTCGTTGCAGACCTTCTTCCCCTTGCAAGTGGGACACCTGTCTTTCTCCTTGATGATCTCCCCCTCGCCGTGGCATTGCGGACATCTCGACTGTTGCTGCTGAGTCATGCCGGGCGCAATCTGCCGATAAGTAACTTTCACCCCGCATCCCTTGCATGTGGTGCATTTTTCCACTTGCCCCGACTTGCTGCCCTTCCCCTTGCAAGGCTCGCATAAAACGTTCTTACTCAACTGCAACTTGGACGTTTTACCGTTGTACATGTCCTCCAAGGAAACCTTCAACGGGTGCACGGTATCTTCTCCGCGTTGTCTGCGTCTCATACCGCCCCCAAAGCCTCCCAAACCGCCGCCGGAGAAAAATCCGCCAGCTCCGAATATGTGCGATAGCAGGTCTTCTCCGTCAAATCTATCATGCCCCCCGCCTCCCTGCATACCCTGAAGCCCGTACCTGTCGTACACCTCTCTTTTTTTCGCGTCCGAAAGAACTTCGTAGGCATAGCTGATCTCTTTGAACTTGTCTCCGGCCTCGGGGTTTTTGTCCGGGTGGAACTCTTTCGCCAGTTTCCGGTAGCTCTGAAATTGCACGAAATCATGATGTAATACAGTGTAATTAACAATATTCCTTTTTATTATTCAAAACATGAACTTTACGTTAAAAATAACATCATTACAATAACAGTATACACGTCAAAACAAGAAAGTTTTCAATGATATTATTCATCCAAGCAAAAAATAAACAGGTATGCGCACATTGTATTATGTAATATCAAGCAAACTTTTAAATTTATTCAAAATCGATTAGTAGGTACTTTGTTATCATTGATTACTGACAGTTCGGTTGTTATTGCGGTTTCTCTGGGACTACATGAACAGTTTAGTGTACCAGAGCGAGGTTGACACATTAGAACAACTCCGCGAATTTGTCACTGCAGCGGCAGATGAAATCCCAAATCATCTGGATATGATAGCAAGAGCGACACATCATAATTTTCTACGCCGCTGTCAATTTTGTGTGGATAATAACAACGGAACATTTATTATGATTTTGTGGAACACTTAAAAAAAAAAAGCTACATGAGCAACAATCGACGTAAAAAGTGTAAGGTGAAATTTGAAATCGACGCGAAATCCACGGAAACCTCGAGATACCTAACAATAAAAAGTATTGTTTTATTCAAAGTAAGCAAAATTTTTAATGAATGTAGATTATTGACCACTGTGCGAGCATATTTTGCCTCAACCAGCGGCGTCCCAAAATTTCTACTTAAAAAATTTTTAATGATTTTTTTATTTTAAAAAAAATGATAAGAGAAAAAACTGTCTTATTTTGGAATGTACTATCATCCGCTTAAAGAATGACAACTTATTTGGTGACACCCTGTATTGATTATTGTAATGTAATAATTATATGAAATTAAAAATATTTACGCTCTTAGGAAAAACCTAATAGGCAACCATTATATCAATTAGCAATCATTATAGTGATGCAAAGATTAAGATAACGGTTACGATTCTACAACCAAAAATCGTACAAATGCGATAAATAAACGAAAGGTAAATATAGAACAAAAAAATATTTCCAAAAAGAGACTAGCATTTTATGGTTTTTTTCAATGGTTTTCTTTAAATATTTGCCCTATTATTTACCTAAAAAAATCTTTAAGGAGGTACCTACCTACGAAAAACAAATTTACTTTGTCATTTTATTACATTTGATTTAAAAAACAAACAATTTTTCAACCGATTTTATATATATTTTTTATTTTAATACAAAAGTATGGGGCGCCATGTGTTCCATAATTATTTCGTACGATATATAAAATATTTTGCAGGAAAAACTATATATAAGTAAAATTTACTACAATTTTGCATATATATTAAAAATAAAAGTTTTATATATATTGAATTTGGCACCATGCGAAGTTCGATATAAAACTTTTTTCGTTTAAAAAGTCCCCGAGCGATGGCGCTACCTTTCTTTATGATTTGTATAGTTTGTTGCATATACTTTATGAACGTATTCGAATTTAAAAAAACATCTTTCGCTCACGTTTTTTTTAGATAACGGCGGTTGGTTTGTAATTTATACAGCTGTAATTATACTGTTCATCGATATTATTAATAAAAGGTAGGTATTTTAAGTAATTATTCTTTTAGAGAAAGATGTTTTTTTAAATTTGAATACGTTCATAAAGTATATGCAACACACTATACAAATCATAAAGAAAGGTAGCGCCATCGCTCGGGGACTTTTTAAACGAAAAAAGTTTTATACCGAACTTCGCATGGTGCCAAATTCAATATATATAAAACTTTTATTTTTAATATGCAAAATTGTAGTAAATTTTACTTATATATAGTTTTTCCTGCAAAATATTTTATATATCGTTCGAAATAATTATGGAACACATGGCGCCCCATACAAAAGACACTATTCACATATATATTTATTGTAAAAGAACGTGAATTAAAAATAAAATTTAAACGTTCTATATGCAGTGTTATTTATAATCTTAAAATGAGTTGTGAAAACGAATTATGTTTTGTAAAGCAAATAAAGTCCACTATAAAGAAAAAAATATTAAAAAAAGGTATGGGAACCAAAAATAAAGCAACAGAAAACATGCAGTATGTTGAATGCAGTGAAAGTGAAGAGCAGAAAACAAAGATAAGAAAAACTGTGCGGTAAAAAAAATTAACATGGCACTTCTACAGGCGTAAGTGCATACGAGAAAAAAATCAATAATTTTTCATTGTCACGTTAGACGATATGCATTTATTAAAGACATGCGCAGTATTATAATAGGCAGGGTTGGCTGCCCAGTGGGTTGGCACTTAAAAAAAGTAGTTTTTTTCTGAACTCTTCGATATGTTTGTATATTTTTTATATTGTTTTTAATAAAAATTTTATGTATGTAAAAAAGTACTATTTAATCAAAAGCAGTACACTCTAAAACTGAGAAACGATCAAACCATTGACTGAACAAAACGTAATTTTAAAGTTCGGAATTTTTTTAAACATTTTCTCTTAAACCTCCTTAAGCAATCGTGTTCGATTATCGGTGATTTCTCAGGTGAGTCGTAATTGCCATTGTGTGCAATCCTGTTTACCATTGGAAAGAGTGTAAAAATGTAGGCAAAATATAAGTAACGTGATATAAAAATGTGGACTTAATACAGCTTGGCTCTGTAGTAATCTGAGAGTATCTAAGAGTATGGAAGTGTTGTAGGCTTGTTTCCATCGAGCATTTGGAGTGTCAAATGGACCTCAGGGACATGCGCAGTAGTTAAATCGCGACCAAATGTTCGTATTGCGCATGTCCCTGACGTCCATTTGACAGTCCAAATGCTCGTTAGTAACAAACCTATTATAACATTTATGTAGCTACTGTACCTAAGGTACAAGGTAAATGTCCAGAATAAATGTTTTTGTATACCTATGTCCTTATAAATTAAGTAATGATTATGAAGATTTGATCCATGATATGATGAGGCAGGTAAGGAAATTTTAATCATTGAGTAAAGGAGTTGAAGAATCAAGTTTTTTCTGTATAAATAAGTAAACAATGCAACAAACTTTCCAGAATTACTAAATTAACGTTCCAGAATTACTAGGATTTCGAAGTTTCATGTTCCTTGAAGACTGAAAGAACTAACACCCCCATATTATGGATATAACCATTGTTATTAGAAAAATTATGGCCGACCTTTTAATAAATTGGATGTACATTTTTGTTTAATGTGTTTTTTGTGTTTACTTGAGTGTGGCGTCACGCGTATATTCGGAAATATTCGTCTATTTCCGGAGAAACCTTGGTTAATACTAAAAACCAACACTTATAACCTATTTTCTGGGTCTCCAAAAAATACATGTCGACTTAAATAATGTACAAACTGTTTTAAAAGCATTTTCAAATAATGTTCAAGCTCCCAATTGCACGAAATCACGCTGTTATACTGTGTAATTTGTGGCCTTGGCAAAAACTTGTCATCGACCTTTGTAATTGCCGCTAAGCAAAAGTGTTCGCGATTGCGATATCAATTTTTTAAGTCTATGATTAGTGAGGGTTTTAACTTACTTTTTTTATTTCGTTGTCGGACGCAGTTCGACTCACACCTAAAATATCATACAGCTTGTTGTCTTCCATCTTTCTAAACAAGGAATGAAAGAAGGAACGTCTACGCTTGTGCGAAGTTAGTTTTTTCAAAACAACCAACTTAATAGACAAAAAATCACTACCGCAACGTTGCCGCCTCGACTATTATTTAAACAATTTACTCAACAATTAAAAGCTCTTATGACACCAAAACGACAGTAATTTCAGACATAATACAAATATAAAGTATTAACAAAAAATTACCACATAACAATGCAGTAGTTACCTATATTTCATCAAGAAAAAATAGATTTGGCAGCGCTTACATAATTTTTAATTTTAAAAATCATCCTGAATGAATCAGTTTTGAGAATAAATGATAATTTATAATAAAAAACACTGATAAACTCAAATAATGTGCTGTTTCACGAAACCGGTGACAGCAAGGCGTGCCAACATAGCCTAAAAATCCAACATCTTTTATAACTTTGTTTTGATTAATCAAAATTTTAAAGAAATTACAATTGAAAGTTTAGTAATGCATACTTAAATGATTTTAAAGTATTTCCTCACAACAACATGGCATTAAGTCGTATGTGGAAGGTTTCCGATATATGGTGGGTTAACCTTACTTTTTTCGAATATCATTTGAATTGTGTTTTTTTGAAGTTCTACGAAATGTATGGCGATTTTGAGGCCGCAAAGGAACGAAAGCAAGTTTAGGCAACAAATTAGACAGTTTAGAAAAGGAAAAAACAACGAAATAAACGAAAATGTTGATAGTGTTGCCACCCCTTTCACAGCAGTTTGTTACGAGTACAGAACATTGAGTTTAAAGAGTCTTTGGAAACCGTTTTTATTTACTGCGGGGGTAAGTTTTTGTATTTATAGAAAGAAATATAATATATGCCATAGATTATAAAGGTTATATGATATATTCTATTTTTTAGTTTACTGCAGCATCATTTGGTGGAGCTGCAATATGGGAGTATGAAAACATGAGATCCCATGCAAGAAGCATGCTAAAAAAGCCCATAAAGTTCTTCAAAAGAAAAACTGAAGTAATGAATGCACATTCGGTAGTATATTAAATAGAAAATTACTTAAAATCTTAGTTTTTCATTACAGAGTGGCATGATGAAAGAAGTTAAAAATTGGTGGAATTCTTTGAGTCCAGGTGAAAGAGTTTTCGTTCCAATATGCGCCCTAAACGTCCTAATTTTTGCTGCTTGGAGGGTTCCCAGGCTACAACCGTTTATGTTGAAAAATTTCTGTTCAAATCCGGCCAGTCCTAATGTTTGTTGGCCAATGCTTTTATCAACTTTCAGCCATTACTCCCTATTCCATTTATTGGCCAATATGTATGTATTGCATAGTTTCAGTGCAGGTAATTCAGTTTATTTATTTTTTTAAATAATGATGCTTTATTGAAGTTTTTTAAGGAGCTGTTCATAGCTTAGGACAGGAGCAATTTTTGGCTCTTTATTTAAGTGGAGGGGTTATTTCTAGCTTTACAAGTTACTTATATAAAGTTGTGATGAAAAAACCTGGACTCTCTTTGGGAGCTGTAAGTATACAGGGTGTCCCAAACATTTTTTTTTTAGATTCCAAAGATCTACATAACATCCATAATTATATAAAAATCACCACAAAGTATGTTTATGTTTTATTCAAAAACAGGAACTTTGAGTCTGATCAAAATCTATAATTCCGATTAAAATCCATAATTCTGTTAAAATCATTGAAAAGTTTATCTAATCAAAAAACAATTATTTTTATTTTTTGATCAAAATCCATAATTCCAATTAAAATCCATAATTTACTAAAAATCACCACAATGTTTGTTTTATGCAAAATTAATTTATGAATAAAATCCAGTTTCGAATAAACAATAATAATTTTCTAAAAATCATCAAAGGCCATAATTAATATCCATAATTTTCAAAAAATTATCGCAAATTTTGTTTCACTCAAAAATAAGCATAATTATTTAAATAAAAAATAATTTGCGAATTTCGTTTCAATATCAATTGGTTTTATTTAAAATTAAGCATTTTGGACCCATGATTAAAATACATACCTAATTTCGATTCAAATCCATAATTTTCCAAAAATCGGAAACAAGAATTTTGATTCTGTGATTAAAATTTATAATTCTGAATAAAATCACTGCAAAGTTTTGTTTCATTCAAAATTAAGTACTTTTAGCACAATATAAAATCCATAATTTTTCTAAAATCATTGCAAAGTTTTTTTAAACCCAAAAGTACAGAATTTTTTTATTAACGTTTCAAAAATAAAAAGTTCAAATGTGTTAATAATATAAAAGTTATTATTTTATTTAATGCTTATTTATTTATTTAATGCTGCTTTTAATATACGTAATTACGAAACTTTTGAAATTAAAACCATAAACAATTTTGTTTCAGTCTGGAGCTATAATGACTATTTTAAGTTATGTATGCACTCAGTATCCAGAAACCCGTTTGGGCATAATTTTGTTGCCCTTTTTTACATTTTCTGCAGGAACGGTAAGAGAAAATGGTTTTTTTGAAAATTTAAAACTTATTTTTATTTTTTAAGGCTATCAAATTTATTGTGGGTCTTGATACTGCTGGAGTAATTATGGGTTGGAAGTTCTTTGACCATGCCGCCCATTTAGGAGGAGCAGCCACAGGAATGTAAGATTTAAAAAACATTCAAAAGAATATTTGTTAAATAATATAATTTTAGTGCCTGGGCATTATATGGTAATCAATATGTGTGGCAAAAACGAGAACCTTTGCTACAATACTGGCATGACATAAGAGGATCAATTAAATAAATAACATATACAACTCGTTTATAGCGTATATTTGTACATAAAACTCAAAATGAATTATATTTAATAATCTAATTTATATATTAAAAAATAATTCGCGAAAGTTGTTTTTTATGACAATTTTTTCCTTATTGTGATCAAAATCCATAAAAACAAGGAATTTGACTCAAAACTTTTAAAAATCATCGCAAAGTTTGTTTAATTAAAAAACAAGCATTTGGAGCACATGATGAAAATCCATAATTTTGATCAATATCAAAAATTAAAAAAAATATTGCTTGTTTTATTCAAAAACAAGCATTTAAGAACCTGATCAAAATCCATTTCGAATATCAATCCATAATTTTCTAAAAATCATCGCCAATTTTGTTTTACTCAAAAATAAGCATACCTATTCAAATTTATAAAATAAAAAATAATTCGCGAATTTCGTTTTAATATCACATTTTTCCTTATTTAGTTAAATTTTTCATGTGGTATTCAATATGCTCGCCAATAAAACTGGCAACATAATAATAACTGTGGTCATAACCTTCCCTCTTCTTTAAAATTGCAGGGAAAGACACATTCTTACAAGCCTCCATTAAATTTTCTGGCAAAAGTTGGTTTTTCAAAAAATTATCTTCCATGCCCTAAAAATGGCAACACTGTAAGTAAACTTCCAATTTTGAGGTTAGGAAACCCTAACCCTCAAAAAGAGGTCCTGAATTATTTTCAAGTCAATTACCTGATCAATAAGCAATTCTAATGCAGGTCCACTGTACTTTTTAACCAGTTCAGTGGCGTCCCATTCAGACCAGGTCCCTGTCTCTTTAGGCCCCAAATATCCTGTAAAAGCCTTAATCCCAAAAGAGCATTTCAAAGGATTTGAGATTGGGGCAAATGCCGATACAGATTTGTATAATCCGGGATTTTTTAGGGCGCACACCAAAGCCCCATGACCCCCCATACTAAAAAATAAATGTTTATACCTGAAAGTCCAGCTTTTTTGAACTTTTAATACCTATGTCCCATAATTGATTGTTTTCCTTCGGCAACTGGAAAATTTAAGTTAACAATTTCAATTAACTCCTTAGTTACGTAGCTGAACATCCTGTAGTTATCTTTCCAAGGACTTTGTGTGGCATTTATGTAAAATCCAGCTCCCACCCCAAAATCCATACTTTCTGAATCACCTGGTATGTTTAAACCTCGTGGAGAAGTGTCTGGATTGACAATAATTACACCATGTATAGCTGCATACCTAAAATTAGATACTTAAATACAAGACATTGCATTAAAAGTTTATTTTTGCCTTTGAGCTCCAGATTTTTCTATAAAGTTGGCTTCAGAACAGGTTAAACCTGACAACCAATAAATAACAGGTAATTTTTTGTTTTCTTCAGCTTGTGGGGGTACAAATACCCCAAATTTCATAGTGCATCCTACTTCTTTGGATTTGTGGGAGAATACTTTTTGTAAACCCCCAAAAATCTTATTGCAAGATACCTCAGTAAGAGCCATCTAAAAAATACATGTTAAAATAAAAAAACATTGTTTCGAATACAAATACCTACTTACATTAAAAAAAGAAAATTATGTATAAAAAGATATCTTGTTAGGTATATTTGGTCAAAGATCGGTATTTTCAAATATTAAAATCACGGTCTTATATCTTATATAAGACCCTGATTAAAATCGATAATATTTCTGAAAAATATGCCGATAAAACGCGGTTGTTGATTGTTTGCGCAATCCACACAACAAGGTGTGTTCTGTCTCGTTTCTAATTTTTTTTAATAATATAATTATCAATGTGTGGCAAAAACGAAAACCTTTTTATATACAATACTGGCATGTCACAAGAGGATCAATTAAATAACATACAAATCGTTTATAGAGTATATTTGTACAAAAAACTCAAAATGAATTATATTTAATAATCTAATTTTTATATTAAAAAATAATTCGCGAATATTGTTTTTTTTTACATTTTTTTCTTTATTTGTGTGATCAAAATCCATCAACACAGGCATTTTGACTCCAAACAAAACAAAAATCATCGCAGTTTGTTTTATTTAAAAACAAGCATTTGGAGCACATGATCAAAATCCATAATTTCAAATAAAAATTCATGGAACTTGATCAATATCTATAATTTCTCAAAAATAAGCATATTCTAATTTATAAAATAAAAAATTATTCGCAAATTTTGTTTTAATATCACACTTTTCCTTATTTAGTTAAATTTTTCATGTGGTATTCAATATGCTCGCCAATAAAACTGGCAATGTAAAAATAACTGTGGTTATAACCTTCTCTTTTCTTTAAAATTGCAGGGAAAGACACATTCTTACAAGCTTCCATCAAATTTTCCGGCAAAAGTTGGTTTTGCTTCAAAAAATTATCTTCCAAGCCCTAAAAAAGTCAACACTGTAAGTAAGCGTCCAATTTTGAGGTTAGGAAACCCTAACCTCAAATTGAGATCCTCAATTATTGCCACAGATTATAAAGGTTATTGCCAAGTCAATTACCTGATCAATAAGCAATTCCAATGCAGGTCCGCTGTACTTTTTAACCAGTTCAGTCGCGTCCCATTCAGACCAAGCCCCTGTCTCTTTAGGGCCCAAATATCCTGTGAAAGCCTTAATCCCCCAAGGGCATTCCATAGGATTTGAGATTGGGGCAAATGCTGATACAGATTTGTATAATCCGGGATTTTTTAGGGCGCACACTAAAGCCCCATGACCCCCCATACTTAAAAAAACAAATTTTTACACCTGAAACTCCAGCTTTTATGGTCTTTTATTACCTATGTCCCATAATTGATTGTTTTCCTTCGGCAACTGGAAAATTTGAGTTAACAATTTCAATTAACTCCTTAGTTATGTAGCTGAACATCCTGTAGTTATCTTTCCAAGGACTTTGTGTGGCATTTATGTAAAATCCAGCTCCCACCCCAAAGTCCCAACTTTCTGAATCACCTGGTATGTTTAAACCTCGTGGGGAGGTGTCTGGATTGACAATAATTACACCATGTTCAGCTGCATACCTAAAATTAGATGCATTAATACAAGACATTGATTTAAATATTTAATTTTGCCTTTGAGCTCCGGATTTTTCTATAAAGTTGGCTTCGGAACATGTTAAACCTGACAACCAATAAATAACAGGTAATTTTTTGTTTTCTTCAGCTTGTGGGGGTACAAATACCCCAAATTTCATAGTACATCCTACTTCTTTGGATTTGTGTGAGAATACTTTTTGTAAACCCCCAAAAATCTTATTGCAAGATACCTCAGTTAAAGCCATCTAAAAAAATACACATTAAAATAAAAAAAACATTGTTTATACAAATAGGTACTTACATTAAAATAAGAAAATTATGTATAAAAAGAGATCTTGTTGGATATACCTATTTGGTCAAAGTTCGGTATTTTTAAGTATTAAAATCACGGTCTTATATCTTATAGAAGACCCTGATTGAAATCGATAATTTTTCTGATAAATATGCCGTCATCAAACTGTCAAATTTTAATTTTAAGGTTAATTTACCATAACCTACAAATTAACCTTAACTTAATTTGACAGTTTGATGATGGCCCTGATGGAATAAGGTTTATTTTTTACAAAAGAGGAGTAAAATGGTTGTCCTTAAATTGCCTCTGTAAAAAACAAAACGTTTAAAATGATTATTAATCGGTATAAACAGCACAAATCCAAAGCACAAGAATTGTAAGAAATGGCCGACGTTCGAGTCTGTGCAGCATAGAAAACCCCGAAGGGGGGTGATTTTAGTTAGCGCGAAACGAGATAGAACAGACCTTGTTCAATAAGGCTTGTTGTGTGGATTGTGAGATGTTTGTATTTTTCGACAGTGGCGTATGAGTTTTAACTTTACCTGTAAATATTATATTTTATTTAGAATCTAAATTTTAGATTAATAAAATTAAATTCAAAACAAAGAACTTAAATCTGACAGTAAACGTCAAAAACCCCACTGTGTTGCCAAGTTCTTCTAACCTAAAATATCATAAACGTCAAAACTGCAACAAACGCGTAGCCATGGCAAACGCTGATCATCTGTTCGTTGCCAACGTAATAAAACAAAAAGTTTCCAGATTAGTGGACCAAGAAAAAGTGCTGGAGATTGGTGTAGAAGGGTCAGGGACGAAGAAAATACGATAACCAACCAAAATAATGGCACTTTCAAGAATTGCGGCCAGTCGCTTGCCCGCCGTTCTCAACGCGGCCATCAGAATACAAAGACGGGCAATTTTTTTGCAACCATCAACAATGGTAAGTCGAATTTGTCAAGTTATGTCATCACTGAGGTAAATAAAAAAATTTGCTGATGGATTGTCCTGGTTGCAAAAAAACTAACGATAATGATTCCGCTGCCGGCAAACAGGCAGATTTCAGAATTGAGAAGGACACCTTCGGGGAACTCAAAGTACCCAATGACAAATATTATGGGGCCCAAACTGTGAGGTCCACCATGAACTTCCCCATTGGCGGGGAGTTTGAAAAAATGCCGGTAAGTGACCCCATATTTTTTTAAGTTAAGTTAAGATAGAGAAAGCTTTTAATTCACTGGAGAAAGTTCAGACAGTATACTACTTAAAAGTAAATACCTACATAGGTACCTACACTTTCTACGTATAATTAAATTGAATATAAAGATTCACTGTTTCAGATATCTATAGACATCTGAATAAAATTATTGAAAAACAATGGATTTGATCTAATATCTTTAACACGTTCGCGACGTAGCCGATTTCGGGAGTGTTAATGCACAGCCGTATTCTGAATTCTGTAGTTTTTAAATGGTAGACAAAAATCATTAGAAAATCAATGAAAAAATTGTCCAATCTAGAACCGCATGTACCACGGGTCATGTACCACCTTTACGTACAGCCGTAATTTGTTTTCTAAGCTTTCCATGCAGCCGTTACGTTTTTAAATAGGATTATATTTAAAGGACGTCGTGCGCCACCGATGGTACATGACGGCTGTTGGGATCAGCCGTCATGTACCACCGCCCACACAACACAAAAATATTTTAAAAATATTGCCAGTATATTAATGTTCATTGATATGATTATTGGATAAACATTGTTTACCAAATGCCTAATGTTATTTCAATATTCCTACAACATTCAGATGTCCCAAAACCTCTATTGTAGAAATGTTATGATATAATATTAATAAAACATTGAGGAAATTGGTTTGCAAATATTTACGCATATTTTAGTAATATTACCAAAATATTTAATAAATAGTTAAAGATATTTCTAATGTTTATTAAATATTGGAATTAATTCACATAAAAATTAAAATTTTCTAAAAATAATTTATTTATATAAAAATATAAATGTAGGTAACAAAAATACATTACATGTTTAACAAAAAAAAAACTTCTTTTTGGAACAGTGCTTCCGATTCATTCTAATTTTCTATATAATTATTTTTCATTTTTCCTGAGCGGAGCTTGAGTCAACCATTGCCTTAGCTCCTTTAATATATCAGCAGTTGTTGCCTTCTTTGTTTTGATATTTGCTCTTACAGAATCTGAAAATTTACTGTACTTTAGATAAAGTTTTATTGTAACTTTTAAAATTACCTAACAGTAACTGGAACAGTTTTAAATTTTTAAATTTTAGTTTTCCTCTTCCTCCATCAAAATTGTACTGTGCAGCCAATTTGTTGGTAACCATTAGGTACAGAACTGATCTTGTTACTTCTTTCGGTGCCTCACCACCAACCATGGAGAATCTTTTGGCCTAGAATGTTAAATTGAAATGTCAAGTTTTAAGTGCACTTAAATGATTTATTTTTCTTACCAATTTCGTTCGCAAATTTGCATCCTCAAGAAACTTGTAAACATGAGGCTGGTACCAATGGTCAATTACAATCGTTTTTTAAATCTCCTGGAAAATCAAGTGAAAGGCTTATAGCAGGTTTTGGATTTACACGCTTCATTTATCCTCGAAAAATATGTTACAGTATGTTAAATCTATTTTTTCCTTGTGTAAAAAGCATGGGCTTAAGCCTGGTTCTAACAGAAAAGTAATTTAATTTAAGATGTAATTTAATTTAACTTAAAAGTTAAAAACCCAACAATCCTTTGTAACGTTCATACAGTGATGTAATTTAAAACTTAATTTAATAGTTGGCCAACTTTTATCTTTTAAATTAAATTACGTTATTTCAAGGTTATTTCGTATTATCTATTTATTATTATTTTGGGAGAATCTAACCTATTTTGTGTAAACGGTTTTAATAATAAGACAAATATTTCGATTGTAATTACCAAAGTAAGCCATATATATCTAAAACTTTAAGTTTTAGATGCACTCTCTTTAAAATATTGTTTTTAATTTCAAACACTATTAAATTACGCACAACAATTAGTGTTTAAAATATTTTTTGTGGTTTTTTTCTTATAAATTATTTAAGTAATAAAATGTATAAAAATAACTACTGATAATTGTATATTAATTCGATTATTCAGCAACATGTAGGCACGCTAACTCTATTTTCCTCTTATTTTCTTTTAAAGAAAAAATATGTGTAGGTACATACCTTTTTGTGAAGATACATCCACTATTTATAGTATTATAGACTCACAATCGTTTTGCACCTTTTAATATTCACCTCTTATCACAGAACATAAGTGCAAAATGGACGCTCAATGATGCAGAGATAAAGAAGGGAATGATGATTTCCCGCGTTCTTTTTCGTCATATTTCGTAACTCATCGTATCCCAGATAACCAGCGTCCTTCCGTTTGCCGGTCAGTTGCCTACTATTCGTTCTCTTGATATGGTAGCCGTTTGCTGTCAAGTGGGTGCCACCATTTGACTGTCTGTAGACAAAAATCTTTTCTAACAATATATTGTGTGCAATCCACCGGCAACCGACGGGAAACCTTTTGCTTATAATTATTGTGGACAACATAAGAGTTTATAGGCGGAAATGTTTCCTGACAACTTATAGTGTGCAACCCACCGGCAACAGACGGGAAACCTTTTGCGTATACTGATTGTGGGCAACGGATAGGAAATGATTTACCTATTCAAATTCACTGAATTTGGTGGCAATTTGCCGATAACGAATCAGAAATTAAAATAAATTAATAAATGAAGCGTTGAGAACCAGAACTTATAATTTTAGGACAATATATATATATATTTTTTTAACAAAGTTTTTCATTTCCGAAAAATATATTGTCCTAAAATGATTGTAACATCATTTAAGAAAAAACATTTGTGGGTTAGGCCACTCTGGTTCCAAACGCTTCATTTACCTATTCATTTTAATTTCCGATACGTTATCGGCAAATTGCCACCAAATTCAGTAATGCCTCATTTATTGGTATTGTTATTTTAACAAGAGGGTTAGGCGTAAATTTTCATACTCGAATTTTTTCAAAGGTCGTTTTATTACAAAAATACCTATATTCACAAAGAAATAAAATATTATAAATATTTATATACACAACAGAATAACCTTATAAGCCGATAATTTATATAATAATAAATAATAATAATAAATGTTCTTTATTGAAAAAAATACATTTTTCAAAAGGCCATTGACTTTCGTCCTTCAGCCGGGAATAATAAATATATTTATTATTATATAAATTATTTGCTTCAAACAGGCGCAGCCTTATGGAATCTTCATTGTTTACGTTTGGATCTCGACGCTTAAGCCTGATTTATAGATTGCCTTTCTTCCTTCCTTCCTTCCGTAGAATATGAACAATACAAAAACCGTTGTGCTTTTTAAAGATTCCCATACGGGAATCTATAAATGGCACTACGTTTTTTGGTATTGTTCATCTTTTATGAGAGGAAGGAAGGAAGGAAGGAAGGAAATCTATAAATCAGGCTTTAGCGGTAATACGTTGACGCTGTTTTGCGGCAAAACTTTTGCCACTCGCCGTTACCTCTCTTTGAAGTTCAACACGCGTTGGTGGATCAAAGTTTTTATTGGTACCCACAGCTCCTGCAATAAATATATGTTTAGCAATAAACATATGTTTAGTTTGTATAAAACATTATTTAACATACCAAAAATAGCCCTAACAAGACCAGGGTTGTAAAGGGGATGATTGCCTTGCTCATCCCCCCATGTATATTGCATATCTCTTCGGAGATAAACTTCCTGAACAGTTTATGAATGTGTAAAGGCCCCATAATCAATCTGAAAAATAAAAATAATTTATTAACGCTTGGCTTGACAATTTTTTCAGTCAGATTTTAATTAATAATTTGATAATTTTTTACACTATGGTAAATTTTGTCGTTTCTTGGGAAGCATTTGGTTCTATTAAAATATCCACTAAATGTGTTTATTCACGGCACTTTTTTGATTATCAAAAAATTAAAAAATGTTTAGCTGGTATTGTATACAAATATATTTAAGAGCGATAAAAATTGGTTCAAAAATGCAAATTTTACAAGGGCGGTAAGGTGTGCTTTATAAAAATTTTTTGTAGTATACTACAACAAATTTTTGTATACAAAAAAGATATTACATTAATTAATTAATTTAAAATTAACGCTATTATAATAGCTTCTGAAATTTTAAATAAATTAATGTTATTTGAATAAAAACCCTTATAAAATTATAATACTTCAAAGAAAAAACTACATCTTCAAAAAATCCTACATTTTTATAGCCTCTATTTAGGTACATGCCGAAAAAAGTTTCACTTCATTATAACAAATTATTTAAAAATTTACTTACGTCTTGGTTTCTTTTTTGTTTTTTTTTTATTTTCAAAGGATTTTTAGATTTTTCCATATGGATATAGGTACAGCTAAAGCTAATAGATAACTATTGCGTGCATAAAACATACCTGATAGATTTCTTGTTTATATTAATCAACACGTCGTACACACACTCGCAGAACAAACCATAAATTATAAAGAACAAATGGTGAGCAACGGTAGCGGGGACTCTCGCGCAAGCGCGGTTCTTTATTGTGGGAAATATGTTGGCCGTCCGTTGCACCTCTGTTGCATACAATTGTTGACTGGAATCTATTAAAAATAAGCGGCTATCTTGGGCGGAAACAAATTTCTTGCAGTTTTCATGCAACTGACCAACAAGGTATTTTAGGAAATGTGTTGCCCGTCGGTTACACCTCTGTTGAATACAACTCTTAATCAGAAATTATTGGAAATACGTGTCAAACTTGGGCCTAAACATTTTTCTTGCAGTTTGCATGCAACTGACGGGAAATGTTTTGGACTTCCAACTTATTGGCTTACTGTTGCATGAAATATGCCAGCTTGTTATTGCCGACAACGCGTTTCTTTAGGTTTACTAAGAAACTTTGGTTATCTGGGATACTACATTTGAATATTTCCAAATGATTAATAAATCATTTATACAATATTTAGAAAACAACAAGCTATAGCAATCTGATAAATATTAATGTAATATTTGTCAAATATTATATTACCAATATTGGCGTTTAAACGGCTTTTCAATATATTAGCAATATTAGGTGTTGTGTGGGCGGTGGCGCACGACGTCGCGAACGTGTTAAATAAATTTATAATTTAAAACTACTTATTTATTTTGATAAAACATAGTATTTAACAATAATTTTAAGAGAAAAATCTTTACAAACATTGTAAATCACAGTTACCTAATACTTATATTTTGATAAACTTAATTAACATAACAATTTCATAAAGTTCATATCAACAAAATTTTGTAATAAACAAAATTAAATAAAAATACATCAAAGCAACTTAAAAAAAACACAAAATTTTGAAAAGTATCAAATTTAAAGTGTACCATTTTATAGAATTTCCCCAAATTGCAAGCAGTTCCTAAAAATTTAAATACGTACTTACCTATATAAAATTTGATAACTTTTGTTAATAGGTAGGTAGGTACATTAAAATTCGTTTTTAACATTGTAATTTGATATAACCTTGGTAATATGTATAATAAAATAAATTTAAATATTAAATCCTAATTAACTAAATTATACACATGTGTCTACATAATAAATACCTACCTACCTATTATAAAAGGTAGGTATACATACATACCTAGGTGGCTACCTATGCATTTTATAAAACATTACTACAAAATCATTTTTATAAAACCTGGATAAAAATTAATAAAAAAATAACTACAGGTGTCATGAAAATAAATAAGGCATCTGCAGCTAGTTTTCTGTCAGTTTGTGTCAAAAAATTAAAGTTTTAAAAGTTTTTTAAATCATCATAGGTAACTTTTTTATTAACAAATTTTAACAATCCTAACTAGTTGAACCATTTTATACCATTTTTAATTATGAATATTTGGTCGCGTCATTATTAATATGCATTGCATATTATGCAGTTTCCAACCCGAGAATTTTATAAAAAATTTTTCATAGTTCGTTTTTTTTATTCGGAATTTACAACGTCAAACATTTTTGGGTTTAGTTGGCAAATTCTAGGTACCGTAATGTATAATTGGCTACATTGACTAGAACAAACTAGTGGAGAATATAATTGTGGTTATGTTATATGAAGAATATGTTTATAAATTTTGAAATGTCAAATATAGGTTGTTAAAAAATGCAATAACTTTTCCTTTTATGAAATATAGGTGACTACACGGCCCAAAAGAGGCAAATTTTCATTCCAAGCATACAAATGCACATGTATGTTTATTATAATTCTGACAGTTAAATGACAAAGTATTTAAAATTAAGGGCTTGAACAGGAGTACCAATTTTAAATATTAAAAACACCAAAGTATATTAAAATGTGTCAAATTCCGAATAAAAAAACAAACGAGTGTGAAATGTTTCCATTTGATAATATTTTTAGTACCCAGTAATCGTCGGCATGGGCATCTTGAAGAAAGCCGCCGCCATCGTCAACAAAGAGTACGGACTGGACGCGAAAATCGCCGACGCCATTTCGGCGGCCGCCGACGACGTCATTTCCGGCAAGCTCTACCACGATCACTTCCCGTTGGTGATCTGGCAAACCGGAAGCGGCACCCAAACGAACATGAACACCAACGAGGTGATCGCCAACAGGGCGTTCGAAATTATGGGAGGAAAGTTGGGGGACAAGAACCCGGTGCACCCCAATGATCACGTCAACAAAAGTCAGAGCAGTAATGACACTTACCCCACGGCCATGCATATCGCTGTTGCCATGGAAATTGAGCACACATTAATGCCAGGTATGATCAAAACTTTATTTTATTTAAAAACGAGCATTTAGAGCGTATGATCAAAATCCATAATTTTCATCTAAATCCATTATTTTTTTAAAATTATCCATAATTTTTTAAAAATCATTGCATGACTTTGAAAGTTTATTTTATTTAAAAACGAGCATATAGAGCTTATGATCAAAATCCATAATTTTCATCTAAATCCATTATTTTTTTTAAATCATCACATTGTTTCAAACGAAAAGAAGTATTTAAGGCCTATAATCAAAATCCAAGTTTGTTCTATTCAAAAGAAACATTTTAAGTGAGCCCATGATCAAAATATAGAATTCCAATCAAAATCCATAATTTTTAAAAAATCATCGCAAAGTTTGTTTTATTTAAAAACAAGCATTTTGAGTATCTGATAAAAATCAATAATTTTCTAAAAATCGCAATTTCATTAAAAAAAATGCTTTGAGCGCATAATCCAAATTCATAATCTTTTAAAAATGATCGAAAAGTTTGTTCTTGGCGAAAATAAGCATTTTGATCAAATTCCATAATTAAAAAAAATATTGTTAAAAACAAGCATTTTGAGCCCATTCAAAACTTATAATTTTCTAAAATCATTTTATTCAAAAACAAGCATTTTGAGCCTATGATTAAAATCCATAATTTTCTAAAAATCGTCGCAAAGTTTGTTTTATGCTAAAACAAGCGTTTTGAGCCTATAATTAAAATTAATATTTTTTAAAAGATCATCGCAGTTTGTTCCTGATGAAAACAAGCATTTTGAGCTCATGATCAAATTCCATAATTTTTCAATAATCATTGTTAAGTTTGTTTCATTTAAAACAAACATTTTAAGCCTGTGATTAAAATCCACAATTTTCTAAAAATCGTCGCAAAGTATGTTTCATTCAAAAACAAGCGTTTTAGACCTATAATTAAAATTCATCTTTTTTAAAAATCATCACAGTTTGTTCTTGATAAAAACAAGCATTTTTTACTATGATCAATTTCCATAATTTTCTAAAAATCATCGCAAAGTTTGTTTTATTTAAAAATAAGCATTTTGAGCCCATGATTAAAATCCATAATTTTCTAAAAATCGTCACAAATTTAGTTTCATTCAAAAACAACCGTGTTGAGCATATAATTAAAATTCATATTTTTTTTATATCATCGCAAAGTTTGTTCCTGATGAAAACAAGCATTTTGAGCTCATGATCAAATTCCATAATTTTACAAAAATCATTGTGGAGTTTGTTTCATTTAATAAGAAGCCTTTGATCAAAATCCATAATTTCATAAAAATCCTCGCGCTGTTTCAGACAAAAACGAGCATTTTTCGCCAATCTACTTGTTAAGTTAGTTTCATTCAAAAACAAGCATTTTGAGCCCATAAAACAAGCGTTTTGAGCTTTTTAAAATCATCGCAGTTTGTTGATGATCAAATTCCATAATTTTCCAAAAATCATTGTTAAGTTTGTTTCATTTAAAAACAAGCATTTAAAGCCTGTGATCAAAATCCATAATTTTCTAAAAATCATCGCAAAGTTTGTTTCATACAAAAGCAATCATTTTGAGGGAGCCCATGATCAAAATTAATAATTTCGATTAAAATCCATAATTTTGTAAAAATCATCGCAAAGCATTTTGAGTAAGCCCATGTTCAAAATTAATAATTTCGATCAAAATCCATAACTTCCTAAAAATCATCGCGTTGCTTCAGACGAAAACAGGCATTTTGAGCCCAATCAAAATCCATAATTTTCTAAAGCTTGTCTTAAAAACAAAGGTATTAGTCCATGATCAAAATCCATATAAATGCGTACTTTTTAGGCTTGACGATGCTCAGGGACTCGCTGAACAAAAAAGCGGAAGAATTCTGCAATATAATCAAAATCGGGCGTACGCACACGCAAGACGCCGTCCCGCTGACTCTCGGCCAAGAGTTCAGCGCCTACGTTCAACAGATGGAGTTCGGCATCCAGCGCGTCAAAGACACGTTGCCGCGTTTGTACATGTTGGCGTTAGGTGGCACCGCCGTCGGCACAGGTTTGAACACGCGCAAAGGTTTCGCCGAAAAGTCCGCAGCTAAAATCGCCGAGCTCACTTGTTTGCCTTTCGTTACTGCTCCGAATAAGTTCGAAGCTTTGGCATGTCACGATTCCATGGTTGAAGTTCATGGGGCTTTAAATACCATCGCAGTCAGTCTGATGAAGATTGCCAACGATATAAGGTAAGTTTTAGTAACCTACGTACTAACTTAAAAATCCCTGAATTTTTCCTTGGTAGAAGATTTAGATCGAAAAAGATAAATAGTCTATATACTTTAAGTTTAACATCCTAAAGTTTGTTAAATCGTCACCTGAGAATTATAGTGTTCTATCTGCATTTTTTTTTTTAATTGAGGTCAGTCTTGTTTTAAGTCTTAAAGATGCATATTGTTTTATCTATATATAATTGGGGTAGAAATTGTACAGTTTAAGCCTTAAACTGTATAGTTTCTACCCCAATTATATATAGATAAGAACAATATGCATCTCTAAGACTTAAAACAAGACTCACATCAATTTAAAAAAAAATGCAGATAGAACACTATAATTCTCAGGTGACGAAATGTATTTTTAACATTCTAAAATGTGTTTTGACATTCTAAATAATGTTTGTTCTTAAAGTTTTTACTTAATAGAATGTGTTTTGACATATTAAATATGTCTTTGTTGTTTATGGTAAATTTGTTTTTGAAAATAGGCCTAATCTTGTAGAAGTTAAAAAATTATTTTAACATTTCAAAATATCTTTGGTATTCTAAATTCTGTTCTTGACATCCTAAAAAATGCCTAAGAAACTTTTTACTTTATAGAATGTGATTTTGACATTCCAAAACATGTTTGAACATAAAGTTTTGACCTAATAGGTAGAATGTGTTTTGACATTAAAAATGTTTAACATTCTAAAATGTTTTTCATTTATGTTAAATTTAACATTCTAAAGTTTGTTTGTGACAGTATAAAATAGGCTTGATCTTGTAGAAGAAATGTATTTTAACATTCTAAAATGTCTTTGGGATTCTAAATTCTATTTTTGACATCCTAAAATATGCTTAGAATGTGTTTTGAAGGTCTTAAATGTTTTTTTTAACATTCTAAAATGTTTTTGGCATTCTTAATTCTATTTTTGACCTAAAATATGCTTAAGCATTATAAAAGTTTTGACTAATAAATATATATTATTATTATTATTATAGAATGTGTGAACATTCTAAAATGTGTTTTGGCATTCTTAATTCTGTTAACCTTTATAATCTGATTCTGTTTTGACATTCCAAAACATGTTTGATCTTGAAGTTTTGACTTAATGGAATGATTTTTCACATATTAAATGTGTAACATTCTAAATTGTGTTTTTGCCATTTATGTTAAATTTTACCTTCTAAAGTTTGTTTTTGACATTCTTAAATGTGTTTTTAAAATTCAAAACTTTTTTATTTATAATATAAAATATGCTTGTTCTTATAATATGGGTATCTTTTTCATTTGAAGAGCTAATAAGGTTTGTCAAATTAAAGAAAAGTTTTGTTATTACAAGCATATTAAAATGAAATTTAAAAAAATCAGCGGTTCTCAAATAATTTTGAGTTACCACCACCATCTTTTGCTTCTCCTATGGCCGCCATATTAAAAGTGTACATGATTAGATAGGAAAAAAATCAGAAATCCAACATACAACATACATAAATTGTATAGAGACAAAACGAGTTTTAACTAAAAATATACTAGTAGCAAAGAAATTGTAAAAATTGTTTACATTGTAAACATTGTTTACATTGTAAACATTGTTTACATTGTAAACATTGTTTACATTTAACAGAAAAGGTTTTCACATTCAAAAATGTGTTTTTGACATTCTAAAATTTGATTTCTTGATTTTGTTAAATAAGGTCTTGACATTTAAAAATGTGGTTTCGCCATTTTAAAATTTTTTGTGTTTTAGTTTTTTCTCTTTCTACAAGAATTTTAATTTTTGGAGAATTTGTATCCTTAATCCTGCCAAACCTTTCCCAAGTCTTATCATCTTTGATGCCTCAAAATATTTTACGTGAAATTCGTTTTAGATTTTTGGCATCAGGTCCTCGCTGCGGCCTGGGCGAGCTTTCCCTCCCGGAAAACGAGCCCGGAAGTTCCATAATGCCCGGAAAGGTCAACCCCACGCAGTGCGAAGCCATCACCATGGTATGCGCGCAAGTCATGGGCAACCAAACCGCCGTAACCATCGGCGGATCGAACGGTCACTTCGAGTTGAACGTGTTCAAACCGGTTATTGTCGCTAACGTTCTCAGATCCATCAGGTTATTGGGGGATAGTACTAAATGTTTCACCACGAATTGCGTCGACGGAATCGTTCCGAATGTAGAAAGAATCGAACAGATTCTCAAGGAATCTCTTATGTTGGTTACCGCCTTAAACCCTCACATTGGCTACGACAAGGCCGCCAAGATCGCCAAAACCGCGCATAAAAATAAATCGAACCTTAAAGAAACCGCCATTCAGTTGGGTATCTTAACCGCGGAACAGTTCGACCAATGGGTCAAGCCTGAGGATATGCTTGGACCCAAGTAAATTGTATTAAATTGTTTTCGTTTTGTAAATATTAAGTCTTTATTTATCATATAAATAAATCGTCACGTTTGTATACAGGGTATTTAATTTAAAACCCTTGTAAATTAGACCAGGGTCGATAATTTTTGAAACCAAAAAAAAAATAACAGTAGGATGAAACCCATTGGAAAAGGAGAAGAATATAATAAAAATGAAAGGAAAAATAAATTACGGGCGATCTGACTTCGGGAAGTGGGAGGGGGGGGGGTTTTAAGGGTAAAAAATGGTTTATCTCGATTTCCGGCAAAACTACAAGTCCTATGGAAAAAAGTTAAATGGCAAAGTTGTAGGTAATAAAAGGATCTACAACTTTTGTAATTACAATTTTTTTACATAACCTCAAAATTTATGTGAAAAATTCAAAAAACCAAGTTTTTGGTTTTTTTATTTTTATCTTTTTCAAAAAAAAAAAATTTTCCACGAAATTTGTTGAAAACTTACCTTTTTATGTCCCAAATACACTGTAATTTATTTGATTTGAAATATTTATTATTTCGCCTTATTTTGACTTAATATCAAAAAAGCACCCCAATTTTCAATCGAAAATTCTCGCGTCAAAATATCAGCTTTTTTCAAAAAGTCGGTGTGCTTTTTGTTTGTTGAAATCTCTACTTTCTGATGGTGTAAAAAAATATACATTACTATGGTAAATGTTCTCAGAAAATGCAAAAAATATTATAATATATGTACAATTTCATCAAAAAAATGTGATTGTTGCAATTTTTTTAGTTAAAAAGTTTATTTATTAAATTCTAATAACATTTATGTCAGAAAATCTCATAAAATATAAAAATACATGTAAATCATACTATTGAATTTAGATACTTCATTCTGATTACGTTATTCATTATAATATTTTTTGTATTTTCTGAAAACATTTACCATAGTAATGTATATTTTTTTACACCATCACAAAGTAGAGAGTTCATCGAACAAAAAGCACACTGACTTTTCGAAAAAAGCTGATATTTTGACGCGAGAATTTTCGATTGAAAATTAGGGTGCTTTTTTGATATTAAGTCAAAATAAGGCGAAATAATAAATATTTCAAATCAAATAAATTACAGTGTATTTGGGACATAAAAAGGTAAGTTTTCACCAAATTTCGTGGAATTTTTTTTTTTTTTTTGAAAAAGATAAAAATAAAAAACCAAAAACTTGGTTTTTTGAATTTTTCACATAAATTTTGAGGTTATGTAAAAAAATTGTAATTACAAAAGTTGTAGATCCTTTTATTACCTAAAACTTTGCAATTTAACTTTTTTCCATAGGACTTGTAGTTTTGCCGGAAATCGAGATAAACCATTTTTTACCCTTAAAACCCCCCCTCCCACTTCCCGAACTCAGATCGCCCGTAATTTATTTTTCCTATAATTTTTATTATATTCCCCTCCTTTTCCAATGGGTTTCATCCTACTGTTATTTTTTTTCTCTTTTTACCAATTTTAAAGGCTTCTGCACTGGTCTAAATCTCATTTCCTTACTCCATTCCTTTGGTTTAGATTCTTGGGTTCCGGGCCGAGGTGCGGCCTGGGCGAGCTCTCGCTACCGGAAAACGAGCCCGGAAGTTCCATAATGCCCGGGAAAGTGAACCCGACGCAGTGCGAGGCCATAACCATGGTTGCCGCTCAAGTGATGGGCAACCACGTTGCCGTATCCGTCGGCGGTTCCAACGGCCACTTCGAGTTGAACGTGTTCAAACCGGTTATGGTGGCGAACGTTTGCAGATCGATACGTTTGCTGGGCGACAGCACGGCATGTTTTTCGAAGAATTGCGTGCAAGGCATAATTGCGAACGAGGAGAAGATCGCGCAGATTTTGAAGGAGAGTTTGATGTTGGTCACCGCATTAAATCCACACATTGGTTATGATAAGTCCGCACAAATTGCCAAGACAGCGCACAAGGAAAAGTCGACTTTGAGGGAAACCGCAGTCAAGCTGGGACTCGTAACCGAACAACAGTTTGACGAATGGGTTAACCCTAAGGACATGCTTGGTCCAAAATAAGATATGTAGATGTTTTTTATTTTTATATAATTATACTTTATTTTAATATTTATAAAAAGTTTGTTTCATTCAAAAACACATTTTTTGAGCCATAATTTTCTAAAAATCATAGCATAGTTCGTGTTATTAAAAAACAAATATTTTGAGCCCATGATCAAAATCCATAATTTAGATTAAAATACATAATTTAGATTAAAATCCATAATTTTCTAAAAATCATCGCAAAGTTCGTTTTATCCAAAAACAAGCATTTTGTGCCCATGATCAAAATCCATAATTTTGATTAAAATCCATAAAATTTTAATTGCAAAATTTGTTTCATACAAAAACAAACATTTTGAGCCTTTGTTAAAATTCATAACTCCGATTAAAATCCATATTTTAAAAAATCATCACAAAATTTGTTTAATTTAAAAACAAGCATTTGGAGCCTATGGTCAAAATCCATAATTTTCTCAGAAATCATCGCAGTTTGTTTTAACCAATAATAAGCATTTTTAAGCCTGTGATCAAAATTCCTATGTAGGTAATTCTCATAAAATCCATAATTTTCTCAAAAACCATCGCAGTTTGTTTTATTGAAAAAAGCATTTTGAGCCCATGATCAAAATCCATAATTTTGATTAAAATTCATAATTTATAAAAATCATCGCAGTTTGTTTCATCCAAAAACAAATATTTTGAGCCTTCAATCAAAAATCATAAATCCAATTCAAAACCATAATTTTCTCAAAAACCATCGTGGTTTGTTTTATTGTAAAACAAGCATTTTGAGCCCATGATCAAAATCCATGATTTTGATTAAAATTTCATCCAAAAACAAACATTTTTAGCCTTCAATATTTATAAATCATGCAATTCAAAACCATAATTTTCTAAAAATCATCGCAATGGTCGTTTTATCCAAAAACAAGCATTTTGTGCCCATGATCAAAATCCATAATTTTGATTAAAATCCATAATATTTTAAATTTGTTTCATACAAAAACAAACATTTTAAGCCTTTGATAAGAATCATAACTCCGATTAAAATCCATATTTTAAAAAATCATCACAAAATTTGTTTAATTCAAAAACAAGCATTTGGAGCCCATGGTCAAAAGCCATAATTTTCTCAGAAATCATCGCAGTTTGTTTTAACCAATAATAAGCATTTTTAAGCCTGTGATCAAAATTCCTATGTAGGTAATTCTCATAAAATCCATAATTTTCTCAAAAACCATCGCAGTTTGTTTTATTGAAAAAAGCATTTTGAGCCCATGATCAAAATCCATAATTTTGATTAAAATTCATAATTTATAAAAATCATCGCAGTTTGTTTCATCCAAAAACAAATATTTTGAGCCTTCAATCAAAAATCATAAATCCAATTCAAAACCATAATTTTCTCAAAAACCATCGTGGTTTGTTTTATTGTAAAACAAGCATTTTGAGCCCATGATCAAAATCCATGATTTTGATTAAAATTTCATCCAAAAACAAACATTTTTAGCCTTCAATATTTATAAATCATGCAATTCAAAACCATAATTTTCTAAAAATCATCGCAATGGTCGTTTTATCCAAAAACAAGCATTTTGTGCCCATGATCAAAATCCATAATTTTGATTAAAATCCATAATATTTTAAATTTGTTTCATACAAAAACAAACATTTTAAGCCTTTGATAAGAATCATAACTCCGATTAAAATCCATATTTTAAAAAATCATCACAAAATTTGTTTAATTCAAAAACAAGCATTTGGAGCCCATGGTCAAAAGCCATAATTTTCTCAGAAATCATCGCAGTTTGTTTTAAAGCATTTTTAAGCCTGTGATCAAAATTCCTATGAAATTCTGATTTCATAATTTTCTCAAAAACCATAGCAGTTAGTTTTATTGAAAAAAGCGTTTTGAGCCCATGATGAAAATTCATAATTTCGATTAAAATTCATAATGTCTTAAAATCATCGCAGTTTGTTTCATCCAAAAACAAACATTTTGAGCCTTCAATAAAAATTCATAAATATTGTTAAAAATCATAATTTTCTAAAAAATCTAAAAAACAAGCATTTTGACCCCATGATCAAAATCCATATTTTCGATTAAAATTCACAATATTCTAAAAATCATTGCAAAGTTAATTTAATACAAATACAAACATTTTGAGCCTTTGATTTATAACTCCGATTAAAATCCATATTTAAAAAAATCATCACAAATTTTGTTTTATTCAAAAACAAACATTGTAAGCCATAGTTTGATATTGGTAATCGCATTATAAAGCTGCACAAGAAAAAGTATACCTTGAATTGGAATTTTGACCAAACATCAGTTTGAATCAAAGATATTTTTTATATTTAAGTTTTATATTAGTGATACATTTATATTTTTATTGATTCTTTAGTTGGCGGAAATGTCTGCAAAGGTAAGCTTGTTTTGGGCAGTAAACCCCTTCTACTGTGTCCAAATGCAGCTAGAATTACGTGCACGGCAGCTTCAACGGTTCTATTAACGTCTTTCTCACTCCCTATACTTGGATTTACCTCCACCAAGTCCATAGCGCCCAAACGTCCAGTTTTATGGATTGTTTCCATAATATGGATGCCTTCCCTCAGTGTTAAACCTCCTCTAACTAAATAAATTTAAATTACAAAATACAATTGTATTCAACTCTATATTACCTGATGTTCCAGTACTAGGAGCTTCCAAAGAATCTAGGGAATCAATATCATAACTAACATGTATGGACCTTCTTCCCTCAGGATCTATCCTATCCAACGCCATTTTAACCACAGTATTAATCCCATAATTCTCTACATCCTCCATACCAAAAGCCGTAATCCCCAACCTATCAATTACAAGTCTCTCATAAGAATCCACAGATCTCAACCCGATGTAGGCAACGTTCCTAATAGAGATCACAGGTTTCTGCCAGTCCATTCCTGGGAGGTACGGCCAGTAATCTGACAGTTCGCGTGCCAGCAGCGCCATTGGCATACCGTGAACGTTACCCGAACTAGACGTTTTGTTTGTGTTCAAATCCGCATGCGCGTCTATCCATAGGATACAGATGTTCTCTGTTTTGGCTTTTATGTGGCCGTCCACAGTCCCAACGGCTAAAATGTTTTTATTTGACGTCACAAATATTTAAATTTTAAGGGTTTACCTATAGAGTGATCTCCTCCCAAAGTTAAACATATCCTTCCATCTTTAACAATCTTTTCCACATTTCTGGACACTTCAAGATTGCAAGAGGCAAAATGAGGATATTCTTTCATGTTTAGAATTTCTTTAACCTCGTTTATATTGTATGAAACATCCCCGTAATCTTTGACATCGACTAGCTCGTCTAAAAATTAAACTGGGGAAAATGTTTTCAAAAATTATTTACTTACGAATTTCAGATAATTTTTGTATGAGACCAGCATCTCGTATCACTTTAGGCCCTTTTGCCACACCTAATTTAGGCTGACCTTTATTAAAGGGCACACCTAGTACACCTATTTTACTACTGTTGCCATTATGGAAATGTTTGGTAAAAACTTGCAAAACTCTCGGAATTTTTATCAACATTTCACACATCAATCTTGAAAAATACAAATAGAAAATATACTAGTAGTATCAAGTTCATGGGTCAAATGTTATCATAATGTCGTAAAGAAAAGTTTGCTTAATAACATTAATATTTATTTATTTTGTAACAATTTAATATAAATTAGTAAATTCCTATTTCAAACATTGGTTTATCAACTATTAACCTATCAAAGCTAAACCTTGATAAGTCTATTGTTTGAAAACGTCCATCTAAAATAAGTTCCGCGACTGCTCTGCCCACTGCAGGGGCTTGTTGAATACCTAAAAAAATGTTTTAATTTTTATTTACCACAAAAAATATGTTCATACCGTGTCCGCTGAACCCTGTAGCGATATACATATTAAAATAATAAGGATGGGGGCCAATAATCCCATTTTGATCGAAACAATTATAATCATAGTACCCACTCCAACCACCAGTCACCTAAATTGCGAAAACAAATCATAAAACATCACACTACCCAAGAAAATAAGGCTTACTTTGATAGACTCAAATGCAGGCACTCTATTGGCCAGAATCGGCCAAATTTTTTCGTCAAAGTAGCTGTGATCCATCTCCAAGTTGTCCGCTATTGGTTCTTCTTCTGGAGGCGGAGACAGGCCGCATATGAACGAACCACCAAGGCACTCTCTGCGAAAGTAGGCACCCGAATAATCTACAGTCAGGGGTGTGTTGATTCCAGGAGGAATGCCGGGACATTTGAAATTGAATACGTATCTTTTTCTGAAAGGAATATTAGTTAGTTAATAGAAATATTTTTCCGAATTGCTCCATTCATTTTCGAGAAATTTTATTACCTATTTTGTACAGGTAAAGGCACTGAAAGCATGCCAGGTCCAAGTCCAATTTTAGCCAATTCGGCTATTTCACCGGAATGACCTCCAGCTGCCAAAATGCAGTAAGCAAATTTGATTGGTTTTCTCTCGCCATTTGGAAGTTGTACCTTTTAAAAGTATGTAAATAGCATATTAAAAAATATTACTTAGACAATTTTTACTCACAATTAATTCATTAATTCCCTCATAACTTCCTTGTTGTGTTCCTTCAACCATAATATCTGATCTGGCGGTAAAATTAAAATCAACTACATCACCATGGATATACTCTGTACCCAAATCTTTCGCCCCTTTTTTTAATATTTGCAGTAAAGACCATGGATCAAACCATCCTTCTTTTTCCAACCCTAAACATCCTAATTCTACATTATCAACATTCATCCAAGGAAATCTGAAATAACAATGAAAATTGTCTTAAGTTACAGCAATTTACAGAGAGAAATTTCACCCACCTCTCTTTCAGTTTTTCCTTAGTTAAAAGCACATTAACAGCCCCCAATTCTTTCTGTAATTTTTGGTTGTCCATCAACTGCTGGGCCCCTTCCTCACTGGCCAGTACCAGATACCCATGCGGCGTAAAATTCGTTTCCGCATCGGGACCGAATCTTTTTTTTAAAGTCCGCAAAAATTCCGCCCCATACAGAGATAGTTGTATGTTTTCTGGCAGAGAAAATTGCTGTCTCAATCCACCCACAGACAACACCGTCGAGCATTCTTTGTACTAAAAGAATCTTTTAGGTTTACATTAAGGGTGTCCGAAAAATATTTACTATCATAGTTTAGATAGTACCTATCCTTTACCTAAGTTTTTTTCGTTTAGCCACCAGGGGATGTTCCTTTAAATTTGCGACATAAATTTCTATCAGATACCAATCAAAGCACGGCATTTTTTACCTTACCTAGTGTGCTATGGAAAATGCCGTGCGATTGTTTTATAATTTTCTATAGACTCTATAATATAAAGATAAATGTCTATAGAAAGTTAAGTAGCAAGCACCCCTAGTGGCTAAAAGAAGCGACTGTATATAAGCCAATGAATCTATGGTCTTATGTATAAGACATTTTTGAAAGAAAATAAAATTACCGTGGGGTCTCTTTCAACGACTACTATTTTTAAAGCGTCCGCATTTGTTTTTTGTTTGAGCCAATAGGCTATTGAACTGCCTACAGCCCCCCCTCCTATAATCACGATATCAGCATGGCTGGGAAAAACATTTGCAACCCCGCTTGTTGTCGGTTGCATTAGTTGTTGTTTTTTTCTGCTTAAGTCGTCTTTTAAAACCCGGAAAGTCCGTGTAAAGGGGTTCTCGAATTTATCACATTTTCTCACTGAACCATGCAAACTACGACACGCAAACTTGGAGTAAATAACTTTAACTGGCGTTTTTATCATTATTTTAAACATAACTTAACTGAACAAGAACGTTTTTAATAATAAAGAACATGGTACAATTTATTTTGAGGTTAACGTGAATGTCAAAAGTTATGATAAGGTTATGTTTATAGAAATTTTTAAAATGTTAGATAAACCTAAGTTTATTGGCTTTTGATAAGATTTTTTAATGCAAATAACTTTTTAATTGTTTTATTTCGTAATTAAATATTTAAAATTGAAAGTATTTAATTACAGTTTCCTATATTTTTGTTACCAGTGTTATCCACAGAAATAAAAGGTGGGTTCTATTTCTGTGATGTTATCCAGTTGAATGTTACACATACTAGATGTAGATGGCACTGAGTATTTTTTTAAATTATTTAAAAATTAAACCTGTGCACAGGTATTATAATAATAATAATAATAATATTATTATTATTATTATTATTATAAGTATACTATATTATTATTATAAGTATACTATACTATCTATAATAATAAGTAGGTAAGTACTTAAAGGGACAAACATGTGAAAGTTAAATAGGTATATAGTTATTATAGGTAACTAAACATTTCCGTAGTTTCGTTATATTGAAAATATAATAAAATTAGTACCATATTATAAATAAATTAATGTTTGTATATTTTTATAAATTAATTTCCCTAAATTCATTCAAAAGGAAGTTGGGGTATCAGTCTGATACTATCAGATTTGGTATCCTGGAATATGCAAAAATATTTCTTGATAAAATATGGTCAGTTATAATAATTATTTTTAGTTTTGGTTAATACTTTATTAGGTTAAGATGCCTACATCTTATTCTCCAAATAATATGGAAAAAGATAATTCTTTTAAGGGATTTATAGCAGCGTTACTATTTTTTTTGGGGCTATGTTTAATTATTTACTTAGTTTTGACTTTTGCTGTGAAAAAGGGTGATGCAAAGGTAGTATTTTATTTTTTATACATATTTTTTTATTTTATTTTTTTATTTTATTTTATAGGATACTTATCAATCTTCAAGTTTAGGTAAGCTATTTTCTTTATATTTATTAATTGAGGGCCTTAGAATAAAAAGTGCTGCCACCCACTCGGCATGTAATGTTACGGAAATGTGTTCTGAGAGTTAAAAGTAACTTATTTCTTTAATGGTTTGCGGCCAACAACAAAGTATTATTGAATTAAATGCATATAGGCTCCATGGTTAAACAGCAACACAAATAATATATTCAACTTTAAAATATTATGAACAATATTTATTGGCAAAATAAAGAGTGAATGATAGCCACATTGATTATGACAACAGCTTGACAAGCCTGACAAGCCAGACCTGAGTTCAATCCCCGGCTGAGTCAAAACTTTTTAAATTTAAATCTTCTAATTTGACTATTTCATTCAGTAGAATTTGACTAATTATTAGTGACTGCTTTTTCGCTATGACAATAAGTCAAATATGAATAATTAGTTATTTCTAATTCATTTTAAGAGAGTAAATTTCCGAATATTTTTTGTTATGTAGTTAGCAGCAGAAAATGTATATTACCGAAAACCATTTAATTTTGTACCTAAGATATTTGTTATTGTGCATATTATAGTAAAAACATGTACAATATTTTTACAGCGATCACCAAAACAACAATTTTCTATTAAGAATTAAATTATTTTTAAATGTACTTTAATAAAAAAAAGTATTGCACAGGAAGCACTTTAGCTGCTTACAATGTGAGCCTTACAACAGAATTGTATCTATTGCACCTCTAATATAATCTTTTAGCAATTTGAAAGTAATAATAAAATACAAACAAAATAATGCAGTTATAAACCACAAAATTATAAAATAATTTTGCTAGTTGGGCTGTTGAGCAAAAATGCCATATCTAAAAATTGAAGACTACAATGTTATATTGTAGATCAGGCATTTTTGCTTAACAGGATAGCTACACTTATACTATTTTATTCTAAGGCCCTTAATTTTTGTATTAATTGGATTTAAATGTTTTATCTATAATAGGAGAAAACCAACGAACATATAAAAGGCTATCCGGATCTATTACTCCAAATAAAAATACTACAACAGTTTCAAGCAAAGATGTAAATCCTACAACTGATCCAAGTGAGAACTTAAATACCACAACTGTTTCAAGGAAAAATGAAAATACTTCAACTGATCCAAGTGCAAACTTAAATACTACAACTGTTTCAAGCACAAATGAAAATACTTCAACTGATCCAAGTGCAAACTTAAATACTACAACTTATCCAAGTGAAAACTTAAATACCACAACTGTTTCAAGAACAAATGAAAATACTTCAACTGATCCAAGTGCAAACTTAAATACTACAACTTATCCAAGTGAAAACTTAAATACCACAACTGTTTCAAGCACAAATGAAAATACTTCAACTGATCCAAGTGCAAAGTTAAATACTACAACTTATCCAAGTGAAAACTTAAATACCACAACTGTTTCAAGCACAAATGAAAATACTTCAACTGATCCAAGTGCAAACTTAAATACTACAACTGTTTCAAGCACAAATGAAAATACTTCAACTGATCCAAGTGCAAACTTAAATACTACAACTTATCCAAGTGAAAACTTAAATACCACAACTGTTTCAAGCACAAATGAAAATACTTCAACTGATCCAAGTGCAAACTTAAATACTACAACTTATCCAAGTGAAAACTTAAATACCACAACTGTTTCAAGCACAAATGAAAATACTTCAACTGATCCAAGTGCAAACTTAAATACTACAACTGATACAAGTGCAATTTTAAAAACCACAACTGCTACTTCAACTGATCCAAGTGCAAACTTAAATACTACAACTTATCCAAGTGAAAACTTAAATACCACAACTGTTTCAAGGAAAAATGAAAATACTTCAACTGATCCAAGTGCAAACTTAAATACTACAACTGTTTCAAGCACAAATGAAAATACTTCAACTGATCCAAGTGCAAACTTAAATACTACAACTTATCCAAGTGAAAACTTAAATACCACAACTGTTTCAAGCACAAATGAAAATACTTCAACTGATCCAAGTGCAAACTTAAATACTACAACTTATCCAAGTGAAAACTTAAATACCACAACTGTTTCAAGCACAAATGAAAATACTTCAACTGATCCAAGTGCAAACTTAAATACTACAACTGATCCAAGTGCAATTTTAAAAACCACAACTGCTAAAGCTGTAATAGTTAAACCAGTATGTCATTCTGCAAGTTGTCGCAAGGAATCGCAAAGAATATCGAGTCAATTAGCCACTTCTGAGTTGGATGATGCTTGTAACAATTTCTATAAGTTTGCGTGTGGTGACGTAGTACATGATTTCAACAAAAAACGCGAAATAAATGCTTTAATGGAGGAATATTTAAGAGATAATGAGCAACCACCTGAATTCATCAAACATTACAAGCAGTTCTTTTCATCTTGTATTAATTATAAGAGGAAAGAAGAATTAAATTTAAATTACAACACAAGGATTCAGTTCAGTAAGAATTAAACAAATAATTGATGGCTATTTGTGATTTTTATGTTTTTTTTATTGTAGTACAAGAAAAAATTAATAACCCACTGGGTGGCATTGAAGATATCTTTGCAGATGCTGTTTTGACACAGTCTTTACCATTTTTAGATGTTAATTTGGAGTTACTTTCGGATTCTTATCAAATTAAGGTAAACATTCTATTAGATTATAAAACTGTAATAAACTTTTATCTTAGATTTCCCGAGACGGTAACGGTTTGATTCCGACCATCGAAGACTGGAAGATTAAAGATTTGTGCAAGAAAGAATGTATTAAGTCCAATATGCATCGTTTTGATCATTTTACGAATCGCTTAGTTGATACAAAATTGTACGAAGAATATGATAATTGCATTGATAATTGTCCCAAAAAAGGTTTTAATGCATTTATAAAAATTTTAAATGTTCAAACACCACAAACATATAATGCAACATTTGAAGCAATACTAAACGAAAATTTAAAAATAGTAAGTAATTTTTTTAGGTTAAAAAAATATTATGTTTTATAAAATTTTAGGAAAATTATAATAAAACAAGTGAAACTGTAAACGTGGTAGATTTAGACAAAACTCTGGGCTTAAATCTAAATTGGACTTATTTATTTTTAAAACTCACTGGTAAAAATATTAAGACAGTTATGGTTGAAGATAAGGAATATTTTAGACAAATATTTAAAAATCTCGATAAGTATGTTAAGTTAGTCCTAATTTATAAACAATAATTGTATTTTTTTTCAGTGCTACACTTGGACAATTTGTTGTTTTAATGCAATATCACACTATTCTTAAACATTTAAACAATTTAGGTAAAGATGAATATTGCCTTGACCTTAGGAAACAACTCATGCCTGACATAACAAATTACATTCTCCAAGAAACATTTAACACAACAATTATTAAAGACTCCCTTAAAAAAGTTGAAAGTTATAAGTCATCTTTAATAAATGTTATTTCCGATTTAAATGAAAAAACTACTATTCATAACATAGAAATAATACCCCCAAATTATGATCCAGATTTTGAGATAAAATTAAAAAATTTATACTCTCCTTTAACCGATAATTTCCTAGAAAATTTAATAAAACTAGTGAAATTACGCAGGAAAAAGTTATTTCAAATGGCGGAAAAGGAATTTAATGTTACAGATTTGTAAGTTATAGGTAATGGGGAAAAAGTGTATAATGTATGAAAAAATTGGTTTTAGCTTTAACAATTTTATTACCGAAAAAGATGAAAACATAAGGGCCATACTCTCACAAAATTCAATTGGTAAGTCTGTTTGACATTTTATTTATTCCAAACCGGCAACATTTTTATTAGCAGGGCAAAAAAGTATTTGGTTTGTTTACATATTTATTTGGTGGAATTTAAACGCAGGCTAGCTAACGTTTTTTTTTGCAATATATCTTTATTTTTGTATTAAAAAATGTTTTTTTTTTGTAAATAAACTTGTGGTTTTGAGGTTTTTTTATTAATCGGTAATTAATTCTGTTTTAAGAATAGTAACTATATTGTTTTCAGTTATACCGTATCAAGTGATACAACGTATATCAACAACTCCAGATATCACCTTTTTGGGCAGAATCGTTTTAAAATTAGCGATCGAACTGATGAAATTTGTACCGCCTGCGCAAAACACGGAATACCAGAATATTATTAACATGACAAATAATGATGAATTTAAGTTCTTGGACACTTCTATGCATATATTTCAAGAAGATATTTTATTAGACAAATTAAACAGATTTGAAGAGGAATTTCAAAACTTTGTTAAGGCTTTCGATTTGGTCAAGTCTTTGAGGGGGGGGAGTAAGGAAACGTTGCCTCCTATTTTCGATATACCATTTGACAACGATAAGATATTTTATTTGACATCTGCTCAAGGTAAGCAATTTGAGTAAATTTAAGTTTTTGCTAAAAAATATTTTTCCAGAATTTTGTTACAAAAATAACGACGAGATTGACTTTGCATTGAACTTAAAATATGGTGACCATTTACCGTCCATATTCGTTACAAACAAAATTATTCTTGAAGCCCAAGCAAGTTTTAATTGCACTGTGAAATCATTGGAAAAAGAAACGGGCAACTGAAATATTGTCAATTATTCAAATGTTGTACATTTTGTTTTTAATAAAAACGTTTATTTGCTACTTGAGACATTTTTTATTGCAAGTGGTACACTTGTTTTAAAGTTTTAAAACTCTAAAATGAAGGTAAGTTATAAATTATGATTAACATTATTCCTAAAAAACAATTTGTATTACTTATGGTATCCATGAAAAAAAACATTGAAATAGAATTAAACTTATAGTAATAGTACCATGTTACTATTAGTTTAATTTTATTTCTGTTACCCATGGGTAACTTGACAGAATAAATTTTTTTAGTTATTATTTCTACTTATTTCTATATTTAAAATTTTTCAATATAATTTAGTATAGTCATTTTGAGGGGTGATAAATCCAGTGCCGTGCTTAAATTTTGTTTAAAAAAATCGCTAATGTGAATTCTTAAAAATTTACTCTTAAAAACTGACATAGTAGGCCTTGTATTTTGTAAAAAAAAATGGCGTTTTTTACTCCAAAAATTCAGTTTATCAAGATCTACACTTTAAAACCAATTGCAATGGCAAAGATTTTACAGGGGCGAGTCGCAAACAAATGGGTCACACTGTATAAAGGTAAAAAAAAAGTATATAGTATTATACTAATTGTCTTATAAGGTTACTGTAACCTCTATGTATATAGTTAGGTTATATAACGGTTTTTACAAACATTTATATAACCTATAATATCCGTTACCAGTTTATAAGAGTTTTTTACAGTTTGCGCTTACCTGTTTTATAAAACTTTTTTTAAGTCTTTAATTGTTTTAATAAAAATGGCAACCTAATTATTAATGTGTTAAATAAAACAAAAATGCTAAGTTAGATAAATGAGGAGCATCCGTGCAAAACCGGCTATATCCACTTTAATAAAATGTTGGGAAAATGGCAAAAACTCGGTTTCCTGGCCTTTACAGATAAAAGAAAAAGCAAACTTGAGTTTTGTGGGCTTTGTGGTACTTGATTTATAAGACATGCTTTCGTTTTCAAAAACTTTATATTAAGGCCAAAATTTCCAAAAATGTTTTGTATATAGCCGGTTTTCCTCAAAAACCGAATAAAAAACGAATAAAATGTGAAAAAAACCTTTATTATTCAAAAATATTAACAAAAGAAATTTAGTGCAAACATGAAAAAACAGAACAAATTTTAGTAGTAGTATCGACATGTATATATGCATATCCAAGCCACATGCTCATCATCATTATTATTTATTGGATATAGCCGGGTTTGCTGTAAAAACGTGGATTTGGCCGGTTTTGCACGGATGCTTCTCAAATGTTGTCTATCAAAAGTTATATTGCATTACTTTTAGTAATTACTAGGGATGGGATTTTAGTTATTTTACCTTTTTTTAACCGATGTAACTATTTGAAAACCAATAATGCCAAAATGTGTTTTAAAAGATTTTCTTTTATATGAACCTAACTTGTTTTCACCTTTTTTACCTTTTTTAGAGGTTTTTGCTTTAAACTACCTTTTTTATACTTTTGTTACCTATTTTTTTTAACTTGTTTTCACCTTTTTTACCTTTTTTGAGGTTTTTGCTTTAAACTACCTTTTTATACTTTTGTTACATATTTTTTAATTTGTCACTTTATTTTCACCTATTTGTTACCTATTTTTACGTATTTTTACTTATTTTATTTTTTTGTGTTCTTTTTAAATTTTGCGCCAATATTTTATCCAGGCGTGCAACTCAACGGTATAGAATTTTTTCTTATGGTCACAGACTGTAACAGTAACTTTCTTTACAGTTACCTTCTTTGTAGTGAGCTTATGTTCTGTCATAGAACTTCTGTATAGTGAGTGTCACTCAGTGAAATACAGTTTATTGCATAGAAATAGTTTATTGTGGGTATGTTCTGTGTTTGGGTATGCGGCTAAACAAAATTATAAACGAAACTTGAACTTTTAATGTTTTTTTTTTTACCTAAAATGCTGTTTTTTTTAACCTAAAATGCTTTTTTTAGTACCTTTTTAGTTACCTATTTTTTAGTTTTTAGTACCTAAATATCCCATCTTTAGTAATTACCATAAGCAATATATATATAAGGGGACTCAAATTTATTTTAAAAACAAAATTTGTATTTTCAATCTGAAATACCTCAGGAGGGAAAATTTTTAAAAATCCAAAATTTTTAAACATGTTTTAATTGTGTTTAAATAAGTTAAATGTAATAAGTAAAATGTTATCACTGAGACTTAGTTTTAAGTTAGATATTTTTTAAAACAGCTAAAAAAGAATGACGCTCGAGCAAAGAAAGACTTTTGAGACAACCTGTGTAACTACAGTTTGTCTTTTGTTTTGTTAAGATTGTAAAAGAATAATACAATCTAAATCAAAATAACAATGTGTTTTGTAGATTATTACTACAAGCCAGAGCTGGCCAAGTACTGAGTACTATTACTTGTATTTCAATTACGAGTAAAAAAGTACGAGTACTTTTTTTCTTCTAAGTATTTTTTATTTAAAATACTTATTACTCGTACTTACAAACCAAATTCAATGTACTCGTAAAAAATACTCGTGGAATTCACGAGTAATATATACGAGTATTTTCGTTTATTATATGGATGAGTTTTTGGCAAAATATCGTAAGCATCAAAACATTTTGTTTGGAAGTCTGTTTTAAATTATATAATATACAGGGTGTCCCAGAACTCGCGCCACATAGAAAACCGGAACGTGCCGAAAGTAACGTGAAACATATTTGAAAATTAAAATTGTCTAACGCAAAGGATAAGCGAGATAAGAATAAAAAACGATAGCCAATCCCAATGGATGGCCATAGGGAATTCTTTAAATTGCTAGGATGCATTGTTGATAATAAAACATATATGTAAAATATTTGGTCCACTGGAATCCAATTCATTGTGATACTGCTGTCAAACTCCTGTCATTAATATTATATTAGGTTATAAATTAAGTTATTATAAATAATGTTTTCCTTAGATGATTATACTGAAATGATAATTACCTATTTATTTATTTAGTGTGGGCGCAACGCCAGGGAGACAACGCGAGTTTTTTCCCCGCCCTTTCCTAATCGTTATTTTAAAACATTGGCGTTCTGAAGTATAAGTCATAGATTAATAACCTAATTTTTGAAAGCTTTTGACAACTTAGTAAATACGTATTTACTGTACAGTTGGCCAAAAGATTTTTAAATGTTTTTACGTTTAACCTAGGCGAGAGCTCTCGGTATTGGCTGCCGCTTTTTTGCTCTCATTCGATTACACTATTACATAGAAATTTTTTATTTTTAAATTTGGCATCTCCATTGCTATCGGCACGCCCCCTTTTTCTCTGTGGCGCGAGTTCTGGGACACCCTGTATAGTATATTATAATATATTATAGCCTATAGGTTTTATAACAAGTATATAGGTAAAATTATAAACTATTTAAGAATTTTATTAGTTTATATACATAATGTTTAAAATAAATAATTTTATAAATTTGTATTTGTTTTTTTATAGCTCAGGACCAAAGTATGTATAATGTACACACTCTAAAAATGAATTAGTCAAAAAAAACTAATTACCACAGTTATTGGTGGAAATTAGTCAATTCCAAATTATATGGAAAATGGACTATATCTCAAAAACTGTTCTACTTTTCTAACATTTTCAGATTCAGGGAACAATTTTACATGGAAATTGACTGCTAAATGTTAAAAATACAAATTGCTATGACGAGAATTATTAGTGGTTGCTTTTTCGCTTTGACAATTAGTCATTTTTGACTAACCCATTTTTAGAGAGTAAAGAATAATCGATTATTTTAACTAACTTTTTTTTTTCAAAAGTACTCGTACTCTTTACTCGTATTTTCACGATTACTACTCGTAACCGTAACCTCTCTTTACAAATCTGCCGTGCTTAATGAAAACGCCGTAACCAACAATTTTGCGATTTTTGTTTTACGACATTTTCTACTAGAACAATTCATCCTGCGTCTATCCCCGGTACTCAAAAAACCGTATATATATAGATACGGTTTTTTGAGTACCGGGGATAGACGCAGGATGAATTGTTCTAGTACAAAATGCCGTAAAACAAAAATCGCAAAATTGTTGGTTACGGCGTTTTCATTAAGCACGGCAGAAATGTACTTACGAGTAAAGTACTTACTAAATATTTTAAGTACTCGTATTTCAAATTTTACGAATACTTTTTTTAGTACTCGTGCCCAGCTCTGCTACAAGCAATGTAATACACTAGCGCTTCCTGAAAGTAATTAACTTGGTATTGCGGCAGTTAAATTAAAGGATAAGAATTTTTGAATATAATTTCTAAATTTAAAATTTGAAATTTTATCGTTAAAGCGCATTAAATTACATTATGTTGAAATATGCTGTGGTTAAACTTCCGGATTTAATAAAAATCAAGGTTTTTCCAAAATTCTCATTTTCTCTTATTTCTCATCTTAATTAAAAAAATGTAATCAATTTTTACCTTTCCCCCCTATAAAACATTAATTTAACAAATCCTACTCACTTTAAAAATGCATTTTTAAGATTTATTGGGCCAACTTTGTTAATTAGTTTAAAATACCTTATCAATTGGGTGGATTATACAAAGGAAGTGATTGATAAATTTGGGCATAAACGAATATATAAAGTAAGCAAACATTTAAAAATTTAGTCATAGAAAAACAAGAAAAGATGGCTGGAAGTTCTTATAATTTGCTCGATCAAAATGAAAGACCATGTAAATCCTATGTTTATAAAATTATATTTTTTCTATTATCACTACTAATATTAGGGTGTGTTATATATAGTATTTTTACATATGCTATCAACGATAAAAGTGGAAAGGTAATTTTACTTGTATTATAAGATTTTAATTTATCCATGTGATTTTACAGGACTATGGTGCAAGTTTTAATAATTCAAATTTGGGTAAGTGCCTTATAATAAACACTATTTATTTATTATTTATTCTAATTTATTATTTAACTCACAATTGACATATTACACGAGCATAATAATACTAATTTGCTTCCATTTTTAAAATTCGCTAAATTCTTTTTCCTATGACTTCCTTGGCAGCAACTTCAAACACGCTTCTTGGGCTTCTTACATCTTGACACTAGTAATTAATAGTTAGTAACTAGTTACTAACTATGGATGAAAAAATTGTCAAAAAACAACCAATCTTATGTACCTTGGTCTAGGATGCCTTGACAGCTTGGCTTTTTTGTGTTGACATACATAAAATGTTGTGGTAGTAATCCGCTTAATTATGCACTTTGTAGAAATGCGAATTGTGGATAAAACGTTGTGGATTAACATTCAATAGAACACTTTTTTGCGATATTTATTTGCTTCTTAAACACCACACCTAAGTACAATAATTAACTAAACGCAATTAATGAATTATTAATTAGGTACATCTGTCAGAAAAAGTAATAATGATACATCGACGGAAAGTCCAAACGCGCCGACCACAAAATCTACCGGCGAAAGCAATAGTGGTACATTGACAGAAGAAAGTAATAGTGGCACATCGACAGAAAATCCAAAGGCGCTGATGACAAAATCTACTGGAGAAGGTAATAGTGGCACATCGGCAGAAAGTCTAAAGGCGCTGTTGACAAAATCTACTGGAGAAGGTAATAGTGGCACATCGGCAGAAAGTCTAAAGGCGCTGTTGACAAAATCTAATGGAGAAGGTAATAGTGGCACATCGGCAGAAAGTCTAAAGGCGCTGTTGACAAAATCTACTGAAGAATATAATAGTGGTACACCGACAGAAAGTCCAAAGGCGCTGATGACAAAATCTACTGGAGAAGGTAATAGTGGTACATCGACAGGAAGTCCAAAGGCACCGACGACAAAATCTACTGAAGAAAGTAATAGTGGTAGATCTACAGAAAGTCCAAAGACGCTGATGATCAAATCTACTGAAGAAAATAATAGTGGTACATCCACAGAAAGTCTAAAGGCGCTATTGACAAAATCTTCTGAAGAAAATAATAGTGGTACATCGACAGAAAGTCCAAAGGCGCTGATGACAAAATCTACTGAAGAAAGTAATAGTGGTACATCGACAGGAAGTCCAAAGGCGCTGATGACAAAATATACTGAAGAAAATAATAGTGGTACATCGACAGAAAGCCCAAATGCGTTGATGACAAAATCTACTGAAGAAAATAATAGTGGTACATCGACAGAAAGTCTAAATGCGCTGATGACAAAATCTACTGAAGAAAATAATAGTGGTACATCGACAGAAAGCCCAAATGCGCTGATGACAAAATCTACTGAAGAAAATAATAGTGGTACATCGACAAAAAGTCCAAATGCGCTGATGACAAAATCTACTGAAGAAAGTAATAGTGGTACATCGACAGAAAGTCCACAGGCGCTGATGACAAAATCTACTGAAGAAAATAATAGTGGTACATCGACAGAAAGTCTAAATGCGCTGATGACAAAATCTACTGAAGAAAATAATAGTGGTACATCGACAAAAAGTCCAAATGCGCTGATGACAAAATCTACTGAAGAAAGTAATAGTGGTACATCGACAGAAACTCCACAGGCGCTGATGACAAAATCTACTGAAGAAAATAATAGTGGTACATCGACAGAAAGTCCAAAGGCGCTGTTGACAAAATCTACTGAAGAAAATAATAGTGGTATATCGACAGAAAGCCCAAATGCGCTGATGACAAAATCTACTGAAGAAAATAATAGTGGTACATCGACAAAAAGTCCAAATGCGCTGATGACAAAATCTACTGAAGAAAGTAATAGTGGTACATCGACAGAAAGTCTAAATGCGCTGATGACAAAATCTACTAAAGAAAATAATAGTGGTACATCGACAGAAAGTCCACAGGCGCTGATGACAAAATCTACTGAAGAAAGTAATAGTGGTACATCGACAGAAAGTCCACAGGCGATGATGACAAAATCTACTGAAGAAAATAATAGTGGTACATCGACAGAAAGTCCACAGGCGCTGATGACAAAATCTACTGAAGAAAGTAATAGTGGTACATCGACAGAAAGTCCACAGGCGCTGATGACAAAATGTACTAAAGAAAATAAAAGTGGTACATCGACAGAAAGTCCAAATGCGCTGATGACAAAATCTACTGAAGAAAATAATAGTGGTACATCGACAGAAAGTCCACAGGCGCTGATGACAAAATCTACTAAAGAAAATAATAGTGGTACATCGACAGAAAGCCCAAATGCGTTGATGACAAAATCTACTAAAGAAAGTAATAGTGGTACATCGACAGAAAGTCTAAATGCGCTGATGACAAAATCTACTGAAGAAAGTAATAGTGGTACATCGACAGAAAGTCTAAATGCGCTGATGACAAAATCTACTGAAGAAAATAATAGTGGTACATCGACAGAAAGCCCAAATACGCTGATGACAAAATCTACTGAAGAAAATAATAGTGATTCATCGACAGAAAGCCCAAATGCGTTGATGACAAAATCCACTGAAGAAAGTAATAGTGGTACATCGACAGAAAGTCTAAATTCGCTGATGACAAAATCTACTGAAGAAAATAATAGTGGTACATCGACAGAAAGCCCAAATACGCTGATGACAAAGTCTACTGAAGAAATTAATAGTGGTACATCGACAGAAAGCCCAAAGGCGCTGATGACAAAATCTACTGAAGAAAATAATAGTGGTACATCGACAGAAAGCCCAAATTCGCTGCTGACAAAATCTTGTGAAGAAAATAATAGTGGTACATCGACAGAAAGCCCAAATACGCTGATGACAAAATCTACTGAAGAAAATAATAGTGGTACATCGACAGAAAGCCCAAATGCGTTGATGACAAAATCTACTGAAGAAAGTAATAGTGGTACATCGACAGAAAGTCTAAATGCGCTGATGACAAAATCTACTGAAGAAAGTAATAGTGGTACATGGACAGAAAATCCAAAGGCGCTGTTGACAAAATCTACTGAAGAAAATAATAGTGGTACATCGACAGAAAGTCCAAAGGCGCTGATGACAAAATCCACTGAAGAAAGTAATAGTGGTACATCGACAGAAAGTCCAAAGGCACCGACAACAAAATCTACTGAAGAAAATAATAGTGGTAAATCGACAGAAAGTCCAAAGGCACCGACAACAAAATCTACTGAAGAAAATAATAGTGGTACATCGACAGAAAGTCCAAAGGCACCGACAACAAAATTTACTGAAGAAAGTAATAGTGGTACATCGACAGAAAGTCCAAAGGCGCTGATGACAAAATCTACCGGAAAAAGTAAAGATTTTTGTGAAAAAAAAAATGAGTTTGTTTGTAAAGAAATATTAAATAATAAAGTAAATGAAGATGCTATTGATAAGAATATTAGGGATTTTTTAAAAGGAAATCGTCAATCAAATAAAAAACCATTTTTATCGCTATACGATTCTTTTTATTTATCTTGTTATGATTATGACCCGGAAAAAATGGAGCATACGGACAAAATGACTTTTGGTAAGTTTTACATTTACCCCTTAAATAAAGCATGTTCAGTTTTATGATTTGATTGTAGCTATTAATAATATGTATAAAATAAATAGTAGTATTGAAGATATTTTTGCTGAAGCTATTTTAACTCAGAGTTTACCATTATTTGACGTAAATTTGGATTTCAATGGAACGAATTACAAAATAAAGGTATAATAAAAGAAACTTTATAATTTTGCACTAAAATTAAGTAACATTTTTAGATTTCCCGATTTGGTCAAGGATTATTACCCACAATTCAGAACTGGAACATTTTAGATTTCTGTGAAAAATCATGTATGGAACTAAAAGAAAATCCTCTTATTCCGGAGTCACCCGAAGAACTATACGATTTTTTTTTAAACAAAAGAAATGAATGTCTTCAAATAGGATTTAATTTATTTTCCAAAGATGTTGACAAAAACTTGTCAAATAATACTGAACTTACTGAATATATTTTAAACAACACACTTATGTTAAAGGTATGTTTTTAGTTTTTTAAATTGTATGTTAAAATGTTCCTAAACCGTTTTTCCAAAATTGTGTTACACCCTGTTTAACATAATAAGTTTTAGAGGGACTTTGTTGATTTACCAGAAACCACAGTAAAAATAGCCTACATGGAAAACAAAACTGACTGCGAAAGTTTTTCCTACTTAAATTGGACCAATCTTATGTATAAATTAACAGGAAGAAATATCGAAGAAGTCATAATTAAGGATACAAACTATTTGGATAACATGTTCGAGAAGCTTTGTAAATCAAACATAAAGTATGTTAAATATACAAGGTGTTCTACACTGTTCTACACAAATATTTCCTAAATGGTTTTATAATAATCTGCTATACTTTGCTTTTAGGTCCAAGGAACTTAAGGAATTTTTAGTGTTATTCCAGTACTACACAATCCATCATAAAATATATACCATTATAAAGAAAAAAGATTGTTTAGGTGTAGCAAAGGACGTAATGCCTGATATAACTAACTACATTTATCAACAAACATCAAACAGTGATAATAGCAAGACTTTTCAAACCATACAAAATCTTTATACAAATTTAAACAACACTTTAGTAAATACTTATACAGATGGAAACCTTACAAGAATAAACAGTGGAGTAAAATTAATAAAAGGAACACCAAACAACAAGACAGAAAGATTATTTAATACTTATTCATCAATAAAATTAAATTCAAGAAATAGTTTTCCAGTTATGTTTAGGGATTTACTTCAATCCCGTATGAAATTCTATTTTAATATGGCAGAAACTAAGTTCGACCAAGATAAATTGTAAGAAATTCTGTTAACCATATTTTTATTTTTCATAATATGTTTTTTTAGTTTTAGCAATTTTATAAGCGTGAAGGATAAACACCCTAGGGCTTTTATTCCCTTAAATTTTATAGGTGAAACATTATTAATTTTAGAACTTTTGTTTCTACCCCTTACTTGCAAAATTATTTATAAATGATATAATATTTTAGCTATACCAGATGAAATGTTGAAAATTAATATTGATTCAATGCCACAAAGTAAAATTATTACAAAAATAGGTTTTAAATTGGCCAAAGAATTGGTTAAATTTGTGCCAATTTCTCAAGAGAACAAAAATGATTTCATGTATTTACTAAACAATGTAATCATATGCAATAACACCATAAAATACAAGGTTCAATATTCGCCAGAAGAGGAAGTAGCCATAAAGGTTGAATCTTTAAAAATATTTCAAGATGATTGGGTAACATTTAACAAAACATTTAATTTAATTAATTGTTTAAGGCAGGAAAAAGGAGTAAGCTCAACAGATTTTTACACGAATTTACAAGGTATGGTTTTTAAAATAACGAAAATTATTAAATAAAAAAATAATAATGTTTTAGATAATTGTTATGAAGAAGAAAGAGAAAAATTCTTGATAAATCTAAGACACAAAAAATATTTTCCGCAAACTTTAACAACCAATGAAATCGTTTATGAAGCTCAAAAAGAAAATGGTTGCAATCAACCAGATAAATGCCGAACATTTTATATACCATTTTATTAACCATGTTTAATGAATAAACAATGTTATTAAATGAAAAACTGCATTTTTACTCTAGTTACTAGTTGTTGTTTTCTATTCGCTGTTGTAGTTTATCAATTTTTTGTTTTTAGTTGCAAAAGCAAAAATATATGATGTGTTTATATTCATAAACTTGTATTTTTTACCTATATTTTACATTTCTATACATATAAGTACTAAAAAAACTTATTATTGTAATAGCAACTTTCATTGAATAGAATAGAATTCAAATACAAATTTTCATGTTTATAAAATTTTTAAATTATAATAAATTAAGTAATTTTGAATTTTAAACATATATCTTTAATTCTCTAAGCAGAAAATAGTTCATAAAAAAAAGAAATAAATATCCAAATTTTGATACATATCGATATATATCAGATAATTGGATATGTATATAAATATCATGATATTTGCCAGCCCTGATATATATACATATAAAACAAATAAATCAGAGCAATCGGAATAATAATAATAATAAGTTTATTTTCAAAAACAACTAAGGTTGTACAGAAAAATAGGCAATTCCTTACAATATTAATAAAAGGATATGCATATAACCTTATAAATAAAATAAAATAAAATAAGTGCAAATTAAATATTAATAATCAGCTAAGAATTACAATGAAAACTTCCTATGAAACACTAGTTACCAAATCCACACTAAAAATCATCATTCAAGAATTCATGATATGAGTAATACGATTTGGTAATAAGAAGTTGTTTTAATGAAGATTTGAAATTTCTTAAATTTTGAGATCTAATGTGAACATGCAACTTATTGTAAAATTTTGGGCCTAAATACAGAATACTCTTTTGGAATAGGCTGGTGTTATTTGCCTCGTATATAATTAAACCATTTTGACGCGTGTTTGAGTTAAAAAAACTAAAATAACTTTTATTCTTATAAAGAAAAACTAATCATTCAAAAATAAACAAGGACGGAAACGTCAAAATGTTGTTTAAATTAAAATATTCTTTACAACTTTCCCTTTTTTCTAAACCTAAAATTATTCTTAAGGCGAATTTTTGCAAAATAAATACTTTAGATGAGACTATTGAGGAGCCCCATAAGCCATATCTACTTTTAAAATAACTAAAATAAACCATTTCAATTGTTTTTGACGCGGCCTAATAAAATACAATGACAACAGAATAAGCTTTGTTTATACACACATGATCAAAATTGTTGCATATTTTTGTATTTTAATTTTCGCTTTGTATAACGTTCTGTTTTTTGTTGTTTTGGAATAAATTTTCATTTAATTGTTATAATACGTAAAATAAAATTTATTATATTGAAGTATATATTTTTGTGGGAAATAATAAAAATAAAAGTTTCGGAACCAATCATCCACCTCAGAGACGGAGGATGATGACTTTGACGACAGTATTTAGATAAATAATTTATTGACAATAAAATACATAGTGTACATTACAATTATAAACAATTTTTCGAAAATAATCACCTTCATTCTATAAATAAAATTTATATTTAATATGTTTTTTCACCTAAATCGTTAATAATTTTTTTCACTTTTTAAGAATTATATTTAATTTTATTTTTAATATTTTCAACAAAAATATATACTTTAATATATTAAATTTTCTTTATTTTACGTATTATAACAATTAAATGAATAGTATATTAAAGTACAAGTTGCAGAAGGCCACATATTCTCGCACGAATTCGAAATTTGGCCTCGAGCGACGAAGGAGCGAGTGGACGAACGAATAAGTGCGAGAATAGCCTTCTGCAACGTGTGATTTATACTATTTTCTCGATTTTAACTTTTATTTAGGTTTTTTTAATTGTTTTGTGGTCGTTGTTAGTTGGGGGATTTTTCTCGCAAAATGTCAGTTGGCAACACAAAATGACAGTTGCATGGACAGGTAGATTTATTTTTATTTACTATTTATTAATAATCTGTCTGTTTTTGTCAACTGGATAATAGGGTTTTGTGTAAGTATTGTATTATTTTTTAATGTTTTCTGATATTTTTGAACAATTGTGTTTACTTTTAGCAGTGAAAAATGTCACAGGAGGTTTTACAAGCAACACCGAACATTATAATGTTCGGTGTTGTATACAATAAAAGTTTATAACTATTGTGCTAGTGATTAATTTATAGTAGTTTTGTGTTTTGTGTACTGTGGGTATATAATATTTCCAATAAAATATAGTTTGATTGACCTGTTTGGCTCATTTATTTGTTAATATTTGTTATCCTGCACAAGTTCAACCTGAACTGCACTTTTTCACATTAAACTTAAAATTTTGCATTAAAATGCATTGTTGGAGCAAACTTAATATAACAAAACAATAATAAAAACTTCATTTTCAATAAAAGTGTAGTTTAGGTTTCACTAGTGCAGGATAACAAACAAAGCTATTATAAAATTTATATTTAATAATCCTAAAAGTAATGAATTTGAGGTTATTAAACAGTTTGACATTTTGGGGGTACCAATACTTAAAAACTAAATGTTGCATTAAAATGCATTGTTGGAGCAAACTTAATATAACAAAACAATAATAAAAACTTCATTTTCAATAAAAGTGTAGTTTAGGTTTCACTAGTGCAGGATAACAAACAAAGCTATTATAAAATTTATATTTAATAATCCTAAAAGTAATGAATTTGAGGTTATTAAACAGTTTGACATTTTGGGGGTACCAATACTTAAAAACTAAATGTTACCAAAAATCGTTTAAGAATGAGCTTCATTCTTCAACGATTTTGCGTGCGAGAATATGACATTCTTACATAAAAATCGAGAAAATTTATTCCAAAACAAAAAACAGAACGTTATACAAAGCAAAAATTAAAATAAAAAATATGCAACAATTTTGATCATGTGTGTAAATACTAGCCACTTATATATATATATATATATATATATATAGGTTTCGAAATTGTTAAATATTAATGACATTTTTGTCGTTGGACCACTGCCCAATATCTGTCTTTTTAATTTAGTTTTTTCTCAAAAAGGCGTTTTAATTATTGAGAGAATAATGTCGTGAACAGGATTCTTAAAAAAAACAGAAATATTTAACTAAAGAGAACTAACCGGTATTTTGAAATCCTAACCTAAATTGAAACTAATCGAGACAAAAACTATAAAAGATCAGACAACAGTTTTAAATAATTTATTCTGAATCAAAACAAAAACACTTAAACACACTTTAACACAAACTGCCATCCACCACATCTTCTGTCATGTGATATAAAACCACCAATTAGAGCAAGCCTAAACTCCAATCATCTTGCCCCAAGCAGCGACAAATAAACCCGAACTCGCCTTATATATTAGCAGGCAAATAGTTCACGCTCTTTGCTTATAAGTAGGAGCGTCACAGGCTATAAATATTTCGCCTCTGTTCGGTCGACTCTCAACGGTGTAGTGCGTAAACGCGGTTTGAGCGTGGATTTTTATTTACCATTTATGCTCGGTATGATTGATTGTTTTTTTTTACTTTTTATTGTGTAGAACTGTATACTATAGTAAAAGTACACTTGTAGTAGGTAAAAAGCTAAAGGATCATTCCACGTTACTCGGGGATTTTTGTCTCGCCCGTCACAATTAAAAATCGTGAATAAAAACTACACGTTATAAAATTTATTTTAAAATATTATTTATTATGCTTTTAATAAGTTATAAGCACAATAAAAATAATATTATAAAATATTAATTTAACAATGCCCCTAAATACAAAATATTGTACGTTACTACATTTTGAGGGTGAGCCGTCACTGTTTTCCATGACATATGATTTAAATCTCCCTTTTTGTCAGGAACACCTTGTGGGTAAAAGGAAAACGTGCTTAAAAAATGCTTGTCTGGCAAACTGTATTGACCCTATTTATTTTATTGAAATTTATACATAAATTGTCGACCAATTATCATAAACATCTCACAGTTCTTTAAGAACAATTCCAGGAATTCTTATACTCAATATTTTTATTTTTGTAAATTTTTAAGTATTGTGGTAATATTTTTGTGTGTTTTTGAAGCACTGTGTTTCTAATACTTCATAAATAAGCGTGGATGCACAGGAAAGGTTTTTGCGGACCTCCGTCGAAACGGAATAAACGATTTATAGTTTTATATATTGGGGATGACCGCACTTGCGGAGACCGTTTGTCCTGTAATTGATTTAAGTAAAATTTCCTGCTGAGGAAATTTATATTTCCTTATTGATATTTTTATGATTTTTATGGGACTGTTTTCAGGGGGAGATGTGTAAAATATGAGGGTTTTTAATGAGAAATGGTTAAAACCAATTTATATAAAATCTACCTAATAATCCACAAACTATTTATTATTACACAGTTATATAAATTAGATTTTTTAACATGAGTTTGTATTTTGTAAATTTTATTTTGTAAACTTCTAACATAATTTTTTGAAGAAAACCAGGTTTATAATTATTTTAACAAAGGAAAATATTTTTCGGAATGTTCTGTAGAGTAATATGCAGTTTTGTAACCATTTTGTTACAGATTATTTTGTTAATATTTAACAAATTATTCCGTTGAAAAACTGACTTCAGCGTCTGCTTACTTTATTCTAATTCGTTACGTGTTCGTAACAACTGCAGAGTATTTATAATATCACCAGAAATCTGTTATTATGTATATTCGGATTCCTTATACCTATTTAACGAGTGTGCGAAGTGTCAAAAAAAAGATGCCATCACTGGTTTTTAAACTGAAATACAGTACAGTGGGTTAAAGTTACGAAATACATCATTAAGTGTTATAGTAGTAATGATAATTATAGTGTGCCAAATTTTTTTTATAATTTGATGCTTGTATTAATTTTTTTGTTTAGAAAATTGATTAATAAAGCAACATTTCTTATCAAATTTTTTTCATTTAAGTTCCCAATGTCCAACAAATACTTTTGTTACTGGGTCTGCAAAAATATTTGTAAAAATAAGGTCCTTTTTTAAAATTACAACAATTATGGTTGAATTATTGACAGGATTTTGTTATTAAATCTACAAAATGTTTGTTATAATTACAAACTACTTATTCAATTAGTTAACAGATTACAGTTGGTTGTAAACTTAAAATAAAGTTATGTGGACCTGGATTAACATAAAATCTGGTTAATATTTGGTTAAAATTACCAAATATTTTGTGTAGGTATACG